TCACTTGTTTTATTGCACGTAACGACGCATTATCCAAAAAATTCGGAGAACATTTCCTTAGTACGACTGAATCGCGACTAACCTAGCTACGCGGCCGATGTTCGTTTCTGGGCATATCGCGGAGACACGCGCCACGCCCCCGTTTCACATCTATTCCCTTCTATGATCTGAGGGCTTAGTGGATGCACACGCGACGCTTGAAGCGGGACGCTAAGCGCTGGGTGAGATAAAATCTGATGTTGCCGTCACTACATAGATAAAACAAGAAAAGAAAGAAAGATGCACACAAAAGAATCATAAAACAAAGTTCTCCGTCGTGTCTGTCTGCGTAAGGAACGCGATAAACTCAAGAACAGTTAAGTAGTGTTAATTGCGAAAAATCTAAAACGTTATATAACGGTCGTTGTGGCCAATAAATAAATAAATAAATAGATAGACCGGCCGTTAATAGTAGGTATATACTTACTGAATGGGTTTATATGAGGTTTTCAGCAAAAAATAGATTGGTTCATGAGGAAGATTTGACAAGAAGAAAATCATAAGCCGGGCAAAAATAACTTACGAAAGTTTTTTCCACATTGTTTGACCTTTTAGTAAAAAAGAAAACTAAGACTTCCACACTATTTGACCTTTTACGAAAATTTAATATAACTAAGACTCACCTTATCATCAACTTCAGCTGATAATATTAAAATACTTTCACAAATAAAACGCTATCCGCTCAAGCCAGATCGCGGCCTTAGATTTAGACTTGGCTAGTGCTCAGGAATCCAAGATGGCATTCGCTTATAATTATCCGCTGCTTGTAAGATTTTGTGTGCAGCAGTCTAGCTTTTGATAATCCAGATTTATCTATGTTCAAAAGATTAGACATTAATTTCGTGAACAGCATTTTATCAAAGAACCTAATAGGTAGGTATATCGAAGTTTGTATTCATTAATAATCAATTGCTCACTTTTAAAGGATACAGGCAGCTTCCAACCGGTCAATCTGAAAATCATTGAGGAGACCTAATGTTTAGCAGTGGACGTCCTGTGGCTGAAAAGATGCCGATTATGATGATGATGATTCACTAATTCGGCATTCAATAGCTGCTGTAAAGTAATAAATACACACGATTTAAGTAAGTAGTCTCTCTGCTGATTTATCATCATCATTTCAGCCATAGGACGTCCACTGCTGAACATAGGCCTCCCCCAATGATTTCTTTGTTGATCGATTCGTGACTTACTTGACTTATGGTCCTATGTCCCCTAGATGGGGCAGAGGGCGTCCACAACAGTCCTCCATCGCGTTCGATCGATTCGTAGCGGCCTGCGTTCTCTCTGATGATTAATTAAATCTATTGAGTTCAAACTCCGAGTTATCCAATGTCCAAAAAGACCCAAAAGGACAAAAGCTATTTTTGGAATGCTAATGACGTATGTATTAATGTACCCACTCCTTAATTCTTGCGAAACGTGAAGATTCCCACGTCCCTCATGATCCCCTAATCGGAGTGATTACGCGTGACCGATAACCAACAACCTTACGACCATTAACGTTGTTGGTGGATGGCCTAAGTCAACAGTTGACAGGGCCGAGGGACCGATATTCATAATCGCCTAGTTTGCCTGCGGTAATTCACGCCAAATATGTGGTAATGGCTATTAATAATGGCTCCATCTTGGAATAATTAATTTTGAGTAACCAGATTAGGTTTCACTTAGTTACACTTGTAATGGAAATTTCAATTTGGTTACATAGTAGATCTGTAGGGAGAACTCGCTAATGCTTGAATGATTCAAATCGAATACAAAAGATCAATGAAGTTGTCGTTGTTTCCTTTTCAGTATTTCATTTGTTTTTATTAAAATTCAAAAGGTATATTAATAAACTAAGTAAAATCTAATATGTACCATAAAAATATCACATCGTATCATAAATACTCACACAAAACACTTTCAGAAGCAAATCTATATGGATTTTCCTGTAAATAGCTCCTTTTTTTGTCTCTGCGACCTTGTGAATACTTACTCGAATAGAGTTTTCCACTCAATATAAGGTATAAGTAATTTCTTCTTGCTGTGATTGGCCTACACTAGTCATACCAACCAAGACAAATCTTATCAATAAACTATACAGTGTGTCTGCTGATTTCGGCTTGACACTATTTTTTGGGATAACCTGTATAACTAACCAAAACTCTGAAAAGGGTAATATTCCATACAAGCTCCAAACCAAATTGAAACTACCAAATTCGCATTTCAAACCTGCCCTTTCAGCAAAAGCCGTTAAAAATTCATGTTTGGGGTCGGCTGCTGAAAGATTTTTTAATAAACGCAAACCTTTTGTCGAGTTCTCATTGTAAATTCAATATTTGTCGCGTTTGAATTGAACGCGGCACCTTTCTTTCTGAGCATTATTGTTGAGCGAACAATACAGATATCTTCGCGAGCCAGAGTCGGCTTTTACAATAGTTCTTCAAGAGAGCAAGAGGAAATTTTAAGTGGTAATAATGGTCTAGGCTAGGATTAAAAGATAAGATCCAATTGTCGATGAAATGAAAGCTGTTAAGAGTGAATGCGCTTTAGTTTTTGGATTTGTTATCTTAATGGAGTCGACACTAGTTTGAACTTGAAATGTCTCATTTCTAGGTCAATTAAGTGCTATTTTAGCCAATTCTACAATTGGCTCAAGGAGAGCCAAAGAGTATGATTTCAAACTTCATTCTTATGAAAAAAGTGACTGGCTATTCAGCCCACCAGCGCTTCGAGACCAACATTTGGCAAGTACTGAGAAAAAGCGCTGCAACATGAGATGAGTGGTAGTTTTACACCTAGTGTCCACATTTAAATTCGAACTTTATTCCGTCTCAAAACACCAGAAAACAGGTTAACACGTGGATTAAACAAAAAGAACTTGTAAAGAGTACGGGGTAAGTGAAAACGAAAGCCATTCGGAAACTATGAATGCGATAATGGGGTCATTCAGAATAGCGGCAGTAGCGCTGAAAGGTATCGAACCACGAAAACTAGGAACTTGACTGACTTTTAATAGCAAACTTTTTTTTACTAATAATAACTTTTTTGACAAGTTGTATAGTGGCCTGTATTTAGTACTTTCCGCGACTTTCTCTTATTCGTCGGTTCATCTAGTGAGAGGCCTGCTCCCACTACATCTTCCAGCCCTTGTCGCCATTCGAGGACTTTTCTGCTTCAACGGTCATCAACTCTTACAAGCTGTGTCTCGCTGTGCTGAATGCGGTTGCGGGCAGCGCAGATCCTTGACTGAAATGAACGAATGACGTTCCTTAACCGTTAAAACTATTAATATTTTGGTGTGGATGTTGTTGATTTTTCTGGCATTTGGCACATCATTACATAGTATAAAACAAAGTCGCTTTCCGCTGTCTGTCATTATGTATGCTTATATCTTTAAAACTACGCAACGGATTTTGATGCGGTTAAATAGATAGAGTGCTGAGTGATTCAAGAGGAAGTTTTTTAAGTATGTATAATATATTGTACCTGTGCGAAGCAGGGGCCTGTCCGTAGTTATGTCAGAGTAGTAGTAGTAGGGTTCGTTTCATATTTAGTATTTAGTCTTTCACAGGTTCTTGGTTTTAGTGTTCTTTTATACTTTAGAGGGTCTGCCAAAAAGTTTAGTGCTGAATTACGAGGAATTAATTAATTGAATTCCGTTCAGAAGTTTATTCGAAACGGACCCCGGCATTCATACTATTCAGACACATGACTTTGTTCTTTCGGTGAAAGAGTAGGTATGTTTATTTTTTGTCTGTAGCCAAATAGTTTTAGGCCAGGTAGTGGTGTTGGGTAGTACATTTGTTTCTCTTTTAATCAAAATAAATGTATGTACAGATGCCAGCACATCAAGCTAAAGGCTGTGGGTTCTTAACTAGTTGTAATAAGGTTCAGTTTGCAAGACAAATGTATCGACTGATGCGCTGTCGTCTGTACACTAAAGTGGAATTTAAGACCTTTTTGCAAAACATAAAGAATGTCCATTAATCTAAAACTATTTTATGTTTTATTAAACTTGATTCAAATGTATCTAAAATACAAATGAATTAGTCAAAATTTTTGTGATCAAACATTTAGAAAAATTGTTGCAAATGCATGGTTATTTAACATTTGGCAAATAATCTAGTTCACAAATGTTGGTTAATTTGAAAGAAGTGAGCCAAGTTTATAATTAAACCCTTCCACGAAATATTCGGGCAAATGGTAGTGGTAGTTTTGAAGCTTTGTGTCCCAAATTTCCCTCGGGCGAGTCCGATCTAGCGGCTGCTCTTAATCCCGAATTCCAATATTTGGTAGGAAAACGTTTCGAACCCTGGCAAATTTTTATTCAGAGTATAAGGTCTGAGTTATATTTGATGTTTGAAGTTTGTTCACATTTTTTAACTCCTTTAACAAGTTGCGTTCTTGGTGGAGAATTTTAATTACTATTGGGATTGTTTGATGCTGCTCTTGTTTTCACACGTGTTTTTAGGCTATGATCTATGGTCTCCTGTCAATCAATGTAATAATTTGAATGAGAACGTAACCATTGCGATTAACTTTAAGATTTTAATATTAACTGGGTTTTTTTTTTAGAGAGAGCAGAATAGATTCTCGCAATTTTCTACCAGGAAACTGAAAAGGCCAATACGTGAGACATAATTTACAAGAATGATGATGATGATGACAATTATGACCTAACAAAATCAAAAGCCAGTAAAAACTTTAATTAACTCTGGTATGAACTACCAGACAGAAAAAAATATTAACGGGGTAACTAATATTGTCGATANTTTTGACAGCGCGAAATACCTACTTTAGAAGAAATACCAAGCCTTAACACTGGTAATCTTAGTAACAATATCTGAGCCAGCAGGCACCAACAAACCGCCGAGGGCAAGCACTTGACCGATCCGTAATATCTAATACATACTCTTTAAAAAAACCTCCGCATCTTTAAACTGGTAATCTTAGTAACAGTATATCTGCGCCAGCAGGCATCGGCAAGCTGTCCGGCGAGGGCAAGCACCTGGCCGACCCGGAGGTGCTGCGGCGGCTGACGTCGTCGGTGTCGTGCGCGCTCGACGAGGCGGCCGCGGCGCTCACGCGCATGCGCAGCGACCAGCCGCCCGCGCACCACCGCCACCACCACCAGGATAAGCCGTGAGTACACGAATATTTATTTATTAAATGCATACACAACAGTTAAAAATCAAGGGATGCAATAGTAGGTATGACAAGTAACTGCAATGAGGGTTTTCGCGAATGAAAGATCCGCTAGATGTGGACGGGAGTACCGGTGTGAAGGACGTGGATGTGGGGTCTGACTGCTGCGTGATTGGTGGATTTTGACATATCTGTCGATGTTATGTCAAAAATAACCAATCATGCAGCATTTGGACCTCGCGTCTACGTATTGCCATCTGACGGATTTTTCATTCGCGAAAACCCTCATTGAAACCTACGATAAAGTATAAGAAGCTTAAATATACGAGCTAACAAACAAACCATTGGGTAAATAAAATATTTACCCTCCCGACGTTTTTACCGTTAAAATAGATATTGTTGCAATAAATCCCGTGAAGTTATAATTTTATAGTAAAAATGCAACATAAAAATTAAACTATTGTGTGTTTAAACTATTGTTGAGTGTTGTTGTGTGTTACTTCCACTGTCACCACTAAGGATATCCAATTTTGAACAGTCATTCTCTGTCTTTCAAGTTCATCTTTTCTTATTCACTCTATCAAATATTGTATCATCCACTTTTATTTTTGTAAGTTACAATAAAAAAAATACAGGATTGTTAAAAGTTAATCACATTATATTAAATTCACTTGAGGATTTTAATAAAAAAGTAAAAGTCTCACCTTTGCAGTTAAGGCCATGATTTCCCAAATTGTCGATATTTGACCGATTTTGTTTGCAGATAGCTTCTAAATGAAAAGATATTTTAGCAAACAAAAAATTGTACGAGTAAGTTAATGTCTTTAACTAGGGCGACAACTTTTCCAAAACACGATATTGCATAGTTTGTCCGATAAAAAAAAATCCCAAAGAAGTACGTCGACGGCTTTTTTGTTTTACTCTCATATATTCATTTTTAACATTTTACACTTAAAATATATACTAATAGATAGGACTTTGTATTTTCTAGGTCGACAACTTTTCAAACTTTTGTTATTGCGTCTTATTTAGTTACTATGTTGAAAAAATGTGAAAAAATCGGCCATGACGGCTTGGACAATCTTAATCAGTCGCGCGGTGGCGCTTACGGAGGACGGACGCGTGTCAGTTTTATTCCTGTGACAGTTCGCGACTTGTCAATATTTTTGACAAAATCGCCTCTGTCTGGCGGGTGGCGAGTCACAGTATAATAATATCAGTATTACTGGAGAAAGCTAAGAATTTTCAATCATGATACATAGTACATTTTCCAAAATAAAACCAATGAGTTAAAATTAATTTATTTATGGGAAATTGTGAGTCAAGCCTCTGATATAATAATATTTTAGGCTGTTTTTATACAGAAATAAATTTGTTTATTATTATTATTTTTCCACGGTATCTAACCTTGATTTTAAAACTAAGCCACGGGAATATAAAAGGCTTCTAAAGTTCTAATATACTAATTCGCCTTCTTTTAAATGCCACTTAACTATTCCAAAGAAAGCGTCAAATAAAGAACAATATTTATTATGACTTGTCCTCCTGATTTATATGTTACGGTAAATGTGATAAAAATTATGAATAATTACCGGTTATTATGAAATAATTATGATTTAGTAAATTTGATTAATATGACATCATTTATATATGTATGTATCGGGTTGCCAGGTGTCCGGCTTTAGCCGGACATGTTTGGCTTTTTACGGTCTTGTCTGGCCAAATATTGTCTTGTCCAGCCTGTCCGGCTTTTGTTAGGCTTTTTATGCGAAAGAAATCCGAGCTACGGAATAATATCATGCGCACGCATCAGGATGTTGGGCAACCGATGATGATAGTACTTCGTGAGTTATGACACTAATTTTAAAGTAAAATGTGCGGCCAAATGAGGCACAGAGTCCGGCTTTTGTGATTTTGGACCTGGCAACCCTATGTACTAATCTGTTAAAAAAATAACGGGAATTTTCGTTTTTTCAGAAAAGTATTTATTTATTGATCTACATTAGTATTTAAACTTTTAAAATAGTCCCTATTATACATTATACACGTGTGTTAGCGCTTCTTCCAATTCTCAAAATACTTCTCAAAGTCGATCTTTGAGATAGCCTTTACATCGATCGGCGACGCGTGTTTAATGTCACTTATGTCTGTAAAACGATGACCCTTTAAAGTTATTTTTATTCACGGAAATAGAAACTAGTCATACACAGCCATTTCTGGTAAATGGCAATGCCAGATTTTGTATGGAAGGTGGCGTCTTTTTTTTTTCGCGCGGCCATTGACCAAACGTTGTTTTTTGATTACAAAATAATGTAATAAACCAAACTTACTATGACATGTATACCTCTAAACTCAGTCTGAACTGAGTTACGAGCGTCAGAAGTTTGATGATTTTTATACTAGATTTGCTTTTTGCGCGCAAGTTTTGTAAGAAATTGCAACAAAATATTCCGCTATTTTTTTATTGCGCTGATTCTACTCCACACTGATGTCTGGAGCCTTTAATGAATGGTATTGTTTGTTTACACATACAATGTCACTATTTTGTTGCAATTTCATACAAAACTTGCGCGTAAAAAGCAAATCTAGTATGTAAAATTATCAAACTTCTAATGCTCGTAACTCAGTTCAGACTGAGTTTAGAGGTATACATGTCATAGTAAGTTTGGTTTATTACACTATTTTGTAATCAAAAAATAAGGTTTAGTCGATGGCCGCGCGAAAAAAAAAAGACGCCAATTTCCGGCATTGTCTTTTGGAGACTGGAACATTGTTACAGTATTGTTTTAGCAAAAATTTGCCGCCACTTTCGCTCAAAATTCAGCAATTTTGTTGCCATGTGTTTCATACCGACAAAAATCCAAAAAATATTCATAGCATGGAGTCAAACGATATGCTAACATCATCAGCATCTTCCCCAATAAAATTGTGATTCGACGGTGTTTCATATCCACTTCTTTCTGTTTTTTCACATTTTCATCGGTTGTTGATATGCTGGTGCGTCCAGAGCGCTCGTCATCTTCTATGCCTTCATGGTCTTCTTAGATACGATTTTACCACTCGTAAACCCTTGATTCACTCACAGCAGACTCACCAAAGTCCATTTTTAACATTTCAAACACTTTTAATTTCATTTTATAAGCAAAACTTGATTCAAATTCTTTGATCGTAAGGAGTTTGTTCCGGCGTTTCTTCTCAGCACTTGCCATATGTTTGTGTCGAAGCGCTGGTAGGGCCCAAAAGGTAAGGAGACATATGTATAGTACCCCATAAGGGCTACCTTTTCTTTTTTTTATTATTTACTATATTTTGACGTTCATAAGTGCCACTTGTGGTCTAAACTGAATAAATATTTTTGATTTTGATTTTTTTATCCATTTTTCCTAACAAACAAAAATCGCCGAACTTATAAAACACTTGTAACTTAAGTGAATGACAAAAGTTCTCGATCGCAGCCTTTGAAGGTCCCATTATTGGGTTTTTCGCTTATATCTCAGAAACTGTCTAAATAAATAACTATGCGTCCTAGCGATATGACTATTGCAACAAAATGAAAACTCATTTAATTTACTACTTTTATCAGTCAAGTTTTTCGATAATATCTTGTATGGTTTTCGAGATATCTGCTCTTCATAGTTTTGTAAAACTTAAACATTTTTGCCTTATATTTTCAAATAATTATGAGGAAATAGTTGCCATAATTTACAATTAGATGATAATTTTAGGTACTTTTTGATGATGAAAGAATATAAGGCGAGTCATCAATTCTGATGTTTCACAAATTTTTAAACATGCTGAATTATAAAACTAGATGGCGATACAGTTATTTAATTGATACCATAAATAATTATTTTAGAAGTTTACTGCTTGAATCTGAGTTACAAATTCTAAAAGGTCAGACGAGGACCTCTAGGCAAGTTGTTTTGAGGATTGTTTACTATTTCTGGGTTTACAATGATTAATTTAGAGTCATTTGCTTAAATAGAATAGCAAAATGTAAAAGAACATTAGTATTTCATATTAAAATGGAATTTAAATTTTTGTGATCATTTACTATTTTTGTCGGTAAAAAGTATTTGTTTGACTTAATATTATCATCTTTCATTTGACATTATTGATTGACAAACATTTGTGTGCATGAACATTATAATAATATTTGTTTCGGGCTGGGTGTTTTCTAACCATTCTTCTTCTTCCTCGGTCCCTCACTGATGAGGATTGCGACCACAGATAGTGTTCCTCTACAGACTGCGGTCATAAGCTGTGTGGACTGCACTATGCACGGTTTCTAACCATAATATTTATTTATTTATGTTATGTTATTTAAGTATTTTCATATCCCATAGTACAAGCTTTGCTTAGTTTGAGACTAGAGTTTATTATTTATTTATTAACTATTTGAAGATTACGTAAACCGTCATCCAACTTACGGTTTGTTTTTACACTGTGGCGTCAACGCGTCGCGCGAGTGTCAGCGCGAGTGTCAGTGCGAGGTGTGCGGGGGCTGAGGTAAACAAATGCACGGCATCGAGGCGGTAAATCCTAGCCTTAACAAATAAGTAGTACATTATACCTATGTGTCTCTTAAATCGCCGTAGATTGTTTGTAAATTTTTCGGTTTTAAAATTTCAAGGCTTTGGGCTTGTTTTCTTCTATGTTATATTAAGCAGTCAGATTTGATTGATAATCAAGGAACCAGAAGCTGGTTTGAGCTAGTAGACCGGAACGACAGGTTGACAAGTTATTTGCAGTCTGCACTATTATACCCACCTTCTTACATTCATAAAGCGGAAACAATAGCGTACCTTATCACTCTGTTACGGTTTTTGCATGAATTAAATCACTGACACAAGACACAATCTTTGTAAAATATGTGCCAGTATAAAAATTGATATTATTATCACAACCACTTACATAAACTTGTTTAATAAAGCGTTATTTTAAAATGCAACGGATTTCAGTCGTGTAACTTAAATTGCTGTTAATAAATTATGACGAAAGCGCAAGTTGGGGCTAACCTAGTATCTTGTTGAGTCTGGGATTTGACCCAATTCTTACGCGACATCGTTCCATATTTGGTCCGTTTCATTAACTTGTTTTAAGTACATCAGTTAAATAGTTGGCCACGCATAATTTCCCTCATGAATGATCAATAAACTCATTTCCTGTGTAACTCTTACAACTTGTCATTCATAATTCATCGACAAATAAAACTCATTTGTTATTTTACATGATGAAAATCCGAGATTGAGTTATCGTTCCGCAGATTTCTCGTTTCGGTCGCCGCGGAGTGTCCTCCCGCTTCCGTCACGATGAGACGCGGCAACAATGATTTGTGAAGCTTTGATCTTAGCTGATGATGTTTTTTTGTTTTTATAAGTGTTGTTGTTTTTTTTTTGGGTGTTGAGGCAGTGTTTTGTTTCAGTACCCAATGTGGGTCGACGGCGACAGGCACAACGCCAACGGTGGCGTCGTCGACGGGCGCCGAGGGTGCTCCGTCCCTGGCCGAGGCTTGCTCGGACGGTGACGTGGGGACTGTTCGGAAGCTCCTCACGGAGGGCCGCTCGGTGCATGAGACCACTGAGGAGGGCGAATCCCTGCTGTCCCTCGCGTGCTCCGCCGGGTACTATGAGCTCGCGCAAGTGCTCTTGGCGATGCACGCGAGTGTCGAGGACCGGGGCATCAAGGTAAGTGTTCCACTTCTCTGTTTGTGTGTAAGTGATATAATATGACCAATATGTATCATGTTAATTAGGGATAATCATAATATCTTTATTGCTTCATGTAGTACAAACAAGTTAGTCCTTTGAATGTTTATTTTATTATATTTTGTCAGTTTTGGCCTTGTTATCCTAAGCGCCACGCGGCGCACGGACGATCGTGTACAATCACAAAGAAAGAACTAGAATATTACCTCAGAATAGAGTCTAAATTCTTGTTATATCAGTCTAAAGTCGTAATTTATACATTTAATTCATACAAACGGCGATAACAATTCAGGTAAAGGAATAACTTAGATAATTTTGTACTTTATAAATGTCACATACGTCATTTTTCTTCCTTCCTTTTTTTATGGTTATCTCGAAGCCTTTTTTGTCAACACTAGTGTAAATAGCACTTGATATAATAACTAGCGTGTTAAACAACTGCACGCAGGTAGATTTAAAGAATGCTAGTGAAAACGTTACTCTTATAGCTGAGTTTTGGGCTGAAACTGTGTAGGTTTGTTTTGACACGACAAGAAGAGGAAGTATACATTTTTCAGCCATTTCAGCCACAGGGCTGGTTCTGCTCCATTGCTGAACATAGGCCTTTCTGCTTCAACCACACCAACGCGTGCAGGTCGCCATCGCCGGCGCGATCACAGGCCAACGACAGGTCGCGCGAACTGTCATTTGTCGCGTTGGTGTGGTTGAATCTTTCCTTGTTCTATTCATAACACGGGCTATAGAGCCTTACGATTGAAGGCTCTATAGCCCGTGTTATGCCCGTGCCCGTATGTGCCCGTCTATCACGTTCCCATATCATGAATCCATTACCAGGGCGACTGCACCCCCCTTATGGAGGCGGCGTCGGCGGGCCACGTGGACATCGTGCGGCTGCTGCTGGCGCACGGCGCTGACGTCAACGCCGTGTCGGGCTCCGGCAACACGCCGCTCATGTACGCGTGCGCCGGCGGCCACGAGGAGTGCGTGCGCGCGCTGCTCGAGAACGGCGCCAACGTCGAGGACCACAACGAGAACGGCCACACGCCGCTCATGGAGGTACGTGGCGGGTGTAGAATGACGTCACCGCACAGGGAGCTTACACTATGGCGCCGACGTCACAACGCCGTGTCGGGCTCCGGCAAACCGCCGCTCATATATGCGTGCGCCGGCGGCCACGAGGAGTGCGTGCGCGCGCTGCTCGAGAACGGCGCCAACGTCGAGGACCACAACGAGAACGGCCACACGCCGCTCATGGAGGTACGTGGCGGGTGTAGAATGACGTCACCGCACAGGGAGCTTACACTATGGCGCCGACGTCACAACGCCGTGTCGGGCTCCGGCAAACCGCCGCTCATATATGCGTGCGCCGGCGGCCACGAGGAGTGCGTGCGCGCGCTGCTCGAGAACGGCGCCAACGTCGAGGACCACAACGAGAACGGCCACACGCCGCTCATGGAGGTACGTGGCGGGTGTAGAATGACGTCACCGCACAGGGAGCTTACACTATGGCGCCGACGTCACAACGCCGTGTCGGGCTCCGGCAAACCGCCGCTCATATATGCGTGCGCCGGCGGCCACGAGGAGTGCGTGCGCGCGCTGCTCGAGAACGGCGCCAACGTCGAGGACCACAACGAGAACGGCCACACGCCGCTCATGGAGGTACGTGGCGGGTGTAGAATGACGTCACCGCACAGGGAGCTTACACTATGGCGCCGACGTCACAACGCCGTGTCGGGCTCCGGCAAACCGCCGCTCATATATGCGTGCGCCGGCGGCCACGAGGAGTGCGTGCGCGCGCTGCTCGAGAACGGCGCCAACGTCGAGGACCACAACGAGAACGGCCACACGCCGCTCATGGAGGTACGTGGCGGGTGTAGAATGACGTCACCGCACAGGGAGCTTACACTATGGCGCCGACGTCAACGCCGTGTCGGGCTCTGGCAACACGCCGCTCATGGAGGTTCGTGGAGGGTGTAGAATGACGTCACCGCACAGGGAGCTTACACTATGGCGCCGACGTCAACGCCGTGTTAGTCTCCGGCAACACGCCGTTCTTGTATATTTAGGTCTGGAATGTGTGTAGAATGACATTACCACACCGGGAACGATGATTGACGTGAACAGCGAAGGTAAATGAGTTAGCTTAGGCGCAAATCACCGACTATTAATTGGCCGGTAGTTGGGCCCGATTATAATTTGTATGAAGAATCGGCCGATACCAAATCGATGTAATGTGCACACTTTCATACATCTTCATACTAATTAACAGCCCGACCCAACTATTGGCCAAATAAATGTCGGTGGTCTGCGTCTCGGCTTTAAGAGATCAATAAGTTTATCTTTTCAAGCTTGTCTTATCGTTTAATTAGTTGTATTAATTTCAATCGAAAAATTTCAAATTACAGCTGGAGGATTAACACTTTTCCATTTGGATAAAAAAGATCGACATATTTGATATTTCTTATCTGTTTAGTATATTTCTAAACACATTAAATCTACTCAGACTTAATTTGCTTTGTAATAGAGGTCTTTAACCATTTCAAACTTGTACATTTGTATTCTAAATTGATTTTATCGTTATCCAGGCCGCGTCCGCGGGCCACGTGGGCGTGGCGAAGATCCTCCTAGAGCACGGCGCCGGCATCAACACGCACTCCAACGAGTTCAAGGAGTCGGCGCTCACGCTGGCGTGCTACAAGGGCCACCTGGACATGGTGCGCTTCCTGCTGGCCGCCGGCGCCGACCGCGAGCACAAGACCGACGAGATGCACACGGCGCTCATGGAGGCCAGCATGGACGGCCACGTCGAGGTCGCTCGCCTGCTGCTAGACTCCGGCGCGCAGGTTCGTCTATATTACTCTCACGCTGGCGTGCTACAAGGGCCACCTGGACATGGTGCGCTTCCTGCTGGCCGCCGGCGCCGACCGCGAGCACAAGACCGACGAGATGCACACGGCGCTCATGGAGGCCAGCATGGACGGCCACGTCGAGGTCGCTCGCCTGCTGCTAGACTCCGGCGCGCAGGTTCGTCTATATTACTCTCACGCTGGCGTGCTACAAGGGCCGCCTGGACATGTGCGCTTGAAAAGTTGGCGATCAACTTCAAGGGGATAATCTTGGACACATGGTGGAGCAATAACCACTCACTTTTGCTTCGTGAAACAATGCAGCGCTGTAACGCGAAGCAAGTTGTATTGTGTTGATGTGAAAGAGACCTTAGGACCGGTTTCCATCAAGGCGGGGCGGAGCGAAAAAGAGTCGGGCTGTCAATTTTTTCTATAGAATATGACAGCGGCGGCGGCGCGGCGCGGAGCGGAGACGAGAAGTGGAAATAATGAAATCTGATTGGTTATTTGATACACTTCTCTGCTCCGCTCCGCTTTGGTGGAAGCCGGGCCTTACTAATGCGATTATCGTACTTGTCTACTCACTCCATAACAGATGTATGACCGTTACAAACATGTCTCTCAGGTCAACATGCCCACGGACAGCTTCGAGTCGCCGCTGACGCTGGCGGCGTGCGGCGGGCACGTGGAGCTGGCCATGCTGCTGCTGGAGCGCGGCGCCAACATAGAGGAGGTCAACGACGAGGGGTACACGCCGCTCATGGAAGCCGCGAGAGAGGGTGAGTGCCGCGGCCGCAGGGACACGCCCCGGCCAGCTTGAGGCGCCGCTGACGCTGGCGGCGTGCGGCGGGCACGTGGAGCTGGCCATGCTGCTGCTGGAGCGCGGCGCCAACATAGAGGAGGTCAACGACGAGGGGTACACGCCGCTCATGGAAGCCGCGAGAGAGAAAAACTGAGATTCTTATTTTTATAATGCTTAAGGTTGCTGCCTATCGATATCTTTAGAGCCCTTTTCCACTTTGACCGGTCCATCTAAAATTCTTAAGGCTTGGTATTTCTGCTAAAGTAGGTATTTCGCGCTGTCAAAATCTGCGCGCGCAATACTTCGCCGAAGACAGCGCGCCAAAGAGCTCTCGCGGCTACACAGTATAGAAATACGCAGTTGGTTAGGTTAGGTTGACTTCCTTCCGTTCAAGCGTCACACTCACAGCACTTTATAATACAAATCATATCCAAGTGATACAAATTAAAACAACTTTCAAAATTTTTGGGAATATAATATTTTAGAATCGAATAAATATAGAATATAACTGCCAAAGTAAACACGGTTCAAAGAGGCGTGGCGTCACCCGACCTTCCGGAAGTTCCGCGCCGGCCCAAAAAACTGACACGCGTCCGTCCTCCGTAAGCGCCACCGCGCGACTGATTGAGATTGTCCAAGCCGTCATGGACGATTTTTTCCACATTTTTTAACATAGTAACTAAATAAGACGCAATATAAAAATTTCATCCGTTAAAAGCCCTCAAGTTATTTCTGAACTTTAGTTTAGTAAAAGATTTAGAATCTCAAATCGCTTATTTTAAAAATAAAACCATAAATAGAAAACGAATAGAGGTAACTTTGGGAATTTATTCTATCGAGTCAACTTCATCAAATCGTGTTTCCATCCGTTAATAGCCCTAGAAAATATCCTCAACTATGCCCAATAAAAATCTTAGCCTTTAATTTTACTGTTTAGTACCTCAAAAATGAAAAATGAAAACCTCATTTTCGCCATTTTCTCTGCTACCCGGCCTTAAGGAGACGAAGCCAGTAGCAGTAGAAATTATATGACGCTAAAATAAAAAGACACGGATCTTAACGCGACATTTATTATTGAGTAACATTATGTAATCACGACTTGACGGTGGTCACAAGCAGACGTCATGCGTTAAGACCCGTGTTTTTCTATTTTAGATGAAAAGGAACGCGAAGTTTAAAATCTTATATGACACTGTTCACATTTGCACCGATCCGTCTAATTCACCAGATACGTGCGACTTCTATCACTCAACAGCGGTTCTTAACCCATTTCTCCCCGCAGGCCATGAAGAGATGGTAGCCCTCCTCCTCGGGCAGGGCGCGTCGATCAACGCCCAGACCGACGAGACGCAGGAGACGGCGCTGACGCTGGCCTGCTGCGGCGGCTTCCTGGAGGTGGCGGACTTCCTCATCAAGGCCGGCGCCGACGCCGAGCTGGGCGCGTCGACCCCTCTTATGGAGGCCTCGCAGGAGGGCCACCTCGAGCTTGTGCGGTGAGTCACATCACACGTGATAGTTGCGTGATACCAGAGTAAATACAAATGAGTAGGTCATCTTCATAGAAACGCACGGGCGCGGTTTCTATGTGTGTTCACGGACAAAATTTAGCGGGGATTAGCCAGTCGTGGTTGCGCCGAATTTTGTCAGTGTGTGCGTGCGCGCCGCATACGTATATTGGCGCGCTCACATACAAACCGCGCTCGGTGCGTTACTATGAAGATGACCCACTCATTTGTATTTACTCTGGTGATACGATAGTTTATTCAATGATTCTACAAGTGAAGATATTCACATTATGTATAGCCTCGATCTTTTGCATAACCCATGACTACAATTGTGAAATCTCTCCGTATTCTAAGTAACATTTTTCAAGTTTTAATTAGTTTCGCTATGATATTGCAACAACACATAAAATATTTTTTGCGGCAAGTTGACTTCAAAGAACAGTGACGTCATAACCCCGCATTTTTAGTTCCATACTTTTGCTACAATCACTGCGCTTAGCATTTTCAGCGTCAAATCATAAAATGTATCTCAATTTAATCGATAGTGTCTACATGTCTGTTGTTCTTATCCCCGTACAAGTATTTGACGTATCTTATTCCCCACAGATACCTCTTAAACGCGGGCGCGGACGTGCACGCGCAAACCCAGACGGGCGACACGGCGCTGACGTACGCATGCGAGAACGGCCACACCGACGTGGCCGAGCTGCTCCTGCGAGCCGGCGCCGAGCTCGAGCACGAGAGCGAGGGCGGCCGCACGCCGCTCATGAAGGCCTGCCGCGCCGGGCACGTGTGCACCGTGCAGTTCCTCGTGGGCAAGGTGAGCCATAGTGCAGCTCAGACGCAGACGTGTGACAATACTTAAAAATATCATTTTTGGACTATCTTCAAAACGGTCAATACAGACGACTACCCCATTATAAGGTCCTGCATGAGTAGTTTGTTACTTTGTTACTATGTCAAAATTTGTCTTCATGCTTATCCCTTGTATTCACAGGGAGCGGACGTCAACCGTATGACGGCGAATGGCGACCACACCCCGCTGTCGCTGGCGTGCGCGGGCGGACACGTGGACGTGGTGAAGTTCCTGCTGGCCTGCGACGCGGACCCCTTCCGCAAGCTCAAGGACAACTCCACCACGCTCATCGAGGCGGCCAAGGGCGGCCACACGCCCGTCGTGCAGCTGCTGCTCGACTACCCGCACTCCGTCATGCTGCCGAGAGGTCAGTCACCCCGTCACGTGTTGTTGTCAGCAGATCATTGACCTCTTCTCCTACGTTCCGGATTGCCGCCGCATCGGTTAACTTTGTGCACGTGCTCGTATGTTTTTACTACGATTTGACTTTTTATTAGATATTCAGAAGAAACTCCACTCTGGGAGTGACACTAATGTTTAAAAAAAAAGTTACACGGCTTTTAGTCTATGTAGAGTACTACCAACGGAGCTCGTGGGTTCATGGGCCGGCCCTCTAACATGTAGGTCGCAGTCGAAGCTGACTGTGCAGCAGGATGTGGGTCATTCCATGACAAATGTTACCGAAGGTGAAAAACTAAATATGTTCTTTTCGCATTAAATCTGATGAATTTTGAAAGTAAACATTCCAAATTATAATGTGCAACAAAAAAAATCTGAAAGAAACAAGTAATTTTTAAGTTATTAGTCTTCAAAGTCTATACTTAAGTCAACTGTCTGAATGATCATTTTCTCTCTAATTATTGGTAATACGATTTTACAAAAACTATCAATCTGTGAAACGTTTTGCCACTATATGATTCGAGGGTATTTATCATAGTAATGGTAGAAAGCGTCATAGTCCCAAAAAAATGGATAATCATCAAGTTTTAAGTGTGTTTTCTTGTTACTTCGGCGATGTAACACCCGAAACAGAAAAACAGGTATTTGTTTTATTATTGTACCTTACACATGGATTAGGGTAACAATATTTGGTAAAAGTAAGGTCATGGTAGTAACGATTTCAAATAGTAACTAATATCTGAGCATGATACTAATTTAGTATGTTTCTTTCTTGATTAAAAACTGTAACACCCGAAACGTTTCGGGTATTACATTTTTATTTATATGTCGATAATGTGTGTATATTGCTTGGAGAAGTGAAAAAGTATTACTGTGAGGGTCCTTTGACCTCCCACTAGCGCTGGCATCGGAAAAGGAGTCATATTTCTCAATTTAAGACTTTTTTGAAATGTCGACTTGACACTAAAATTAAGGTATTGCTAAAAAGTGTCGATGTTTGACATTTCCAATAAATATCGTAATTAGAAATTAAAGTAATGCTATTTCAAGCCAAAAACAATAGAAAAAGCTATTTTCTGAGGAAAAATTAAACTTAAACTTTGTATATTTTTTAAAAAAAGCTGCTTCGTAATTTCAAACCAGAATTCGCTCTATTTGTGTTTATTTGTTGTACTCCTTATTTTGTAGTACCTAGAGACTAATAAAACACCGATTTTATCGATAAAACGAGTTGAATTTTCGTACTCGTAACACCCGAAACAGAACCATTGTAACACCCGAAACAAAGAAAAAAATTATAAAAAAATAGTAAAACGTTTTATTTAACAGTGATTGTATGTTACATGGTTTGTAAATGTCATACTTTAGAAGTCCTGTAAGTTTTAGGTATGATTCCTTAAGAAAATTCGCTAAATTTCGAGTAAATGCAGCAACAGTCAGAACATAGAGGCAAAATCTCGTAACGCCCGAAACGCACACTTTTCGAATCATATTTTCGTTATCCTACATTCTAAGCTGTACAAACTTTATTATTAAGATAAAACAACTAAAAACGGACAGATTAAGGCACTAACAATATTAAAATACTATTTCAAAATACATGAAATTGTTGAATATGTGTGTACGAACGTAACACCCGAAACGATGGAATGACCCATGTACGATTGTGCTCGTACTGTGCGAGTGTTAAATTTTACACATCCACTACCACCATCATTTCAGCCAAAGGACGTCCACTGCTAAACAGGCCTCCCCCAACGACTACCTTATCGCCCGGTTGGTAGCCTGCATCCAGCGCCCTCCTGCTACTTTTACGAGGTACACACTGAAAACCAGCGTCGTGGCCACGGCATATCCTGAGTGCAGTCCTGCGATGGGCATCGCTGTTGCGACAGGGTGGCACTACTCAGTTCACTTTTTAATGTTTTATGTGCTATTTCTGTCTTTTTTAGGGTTGTTCCCACATTACCTACTTTATCCTTATGTGATATTCATCGTAATAAATGTTTTTTTCTTTCTTACTAAACCGCATTGTCGTCTCAACAGCAGGCAACGGTGCTGCGGAGGAAGGCAGCGGTCTAAGCGCGGCTCAAGCGGCGGCGCTAGGGTTGTCGCACGCGCCCGCGCCCGGCGCGCCCGCGGCCCGCGCGCTGCTGCCGGCGCACCCGCACCACGCGCACCACCCCGCCCCCGCCGCCGCCGCCCCCGCGCCGGCGCCGGCGCAGCCCACGGCTGAGCCGCCTGAACTGCCGGCGGACTTCACCAAGCCCTACTACGATGGTGAGTGTTGTTAGTGGATATTGTGGCCTTATTTGTTCTCTAGCTGTGGCTGTGACGTGTCTAAGGTGCGCGCCATTTTATCGTCTTATATTTTACTTACCGACGACATCGTAAAGGTAGCAGGGAAGCGCTGGACGCAGGCTGCTACCAATCGATCAACATGGAAAGCATTGGAGGAGGTCTATGTTCAGCAGTGGACGTCCTATGGCTGAAATGATGATATTTTACTTATCGTCTAAAATCGATCATAAATTTATATCGTGGGACACGTCGTAGGGTGGCTGTTGTAAGACATAAACTATCATATGCAGTGGATGCTCAACAGCTTTGAGCAACCGCGTTATGTGACCGCACTATGCCACGATATGATCAAAACATCATATAAGTTTTTTTTGCTATTTCATTTTGCAGATCACGTTTACATAAATAGAATAAAATTATCCGTATATTTAGGTGAACAGACGATAGTCATCCACTTGTTAACACGTCTTCACTAATTTCCAAATCTATTCAGAAAGCAANAATAAATATCGTAATTAGAAATTAAAGTAATGCTATTTCAAGCCAAAAACAATAGAAAAAGCTATTTTCTGAGGAAAAATTAAACTTAAACTTTGTATATTTTTTAAAAAAAGCTGCTTCGTAATTTCAAACCAGAATTCGCTCTATTTGTGTTTATTTGTTGTACTCCTTATTTTGTAGTACCTAGAGACTAATAAAACACCGATTTTATCGATAAAACGAGTTGAATTTTCGTACTCGTAACACCCGAAACAGAACCATTGTAACACCCGAAACAAAGAAAAAAATTATAAAAAAATAGTAAAACGTTTTATTTAACAGTGATTGTATGTTACATGGTTTGTAAATGTCATACTTTAGAAGTCCTGTAAGTTTTAGGTATGATTCCTTAAGAAAATTCGCTAAATTTCGAGTAAATGCAGCAACAGTCAGAACATAGAGGCAAAATCTCGTAACGCCCGAAACGCACACTTTTCGAATCATATTTTCGTTATCCTACATTCTAAGCTGTACAAACTTTATTATTAAGATAAAACAACTAAAAACGGACAGATTAAGGCACTAACAATATTAAAATACTATTTCAAAATACATGAAATTGTTGAATATGTGTGTACGAACGTAACACCCGAAACGATGGAATGACCCATGTACGATTGTGCTCGTACTGTGCGAGTGTTAAATTTTACACATCCACTACCACCATCATTTCAGCCAAAGGACGTCCACTGCTAAACAGGCCTCCCCCAACGACTACCTTATCGCCCGGTTGGTAGCCTGCATCCAGCGCCCTCCTGCTACTTTTACGAGGTACACACTGAAAACCAGCGTCGTGGCCACGGCATATCCTGAGTGCAGTCCTGCGATGGGCATCGCTGTTGCGACAGGGTGGCACTACTCAGTTCACTTTTTAATGTTTTATGTGCTATTTCTGTCTTTTTTAGGGTTGTTCCCACATTACCTACTTTATCCTTATGTGATATTCATCGTAATAAATGTTTTTTTCTTTCTTACTAAACCGCATTGTCGTCTCAACAGCAGGCAACGGTGCTGCGGAGGAAGGCAGCGGTCTAAGCGCGGCTCAAGCGGCGGCGCTAGGGTTGTCGCACGCGCCCGCGCCCGGCGCGCCCGCGGCCCGCGCGCTGCTGCCGGCGCACCCGCACCACGCGCACCACCCCGCCCCCGCCGCCGCCGCCCCCGCGCCGGCGCCGGCGCAGCCCACGGCTGAGCCGCCTGAACTGCCGGCGGACTTCACCAAGCCCTACTACGATGGTGAGTGTTGTTAGTGGATATTGTGGCCTTATTTGTTCTCTAGCTGTGGCTGTGACGTGTCTAAGGTGCGCGCCATTTTATCGTCTTATATTTTACTTACCGACGACATCGTAAAGGTAGCAGGGAAGCGCTGGACGCAGGCTGCTACCAATCGATCAACATGGAAAGCATTGGAGGAGGTCTATGTTCAGCAGTGGACGTCCTATGGCTGAAATGATGATATTTTACTTATCGTCTAAAATCGATCATAAATTTATATCGTGGGACACGTCGTAGGGTGGCTGTTGTAAGACATAAACTATCATATGCAGTGGATGCTCAACAGCTTTGAGCAACCGCGTTATGTGACCGCACTATGCCACGATATGATCAAAACATCATATAAGTTTTTTTTGCTATTTCATTTTGCAGATCACGTTTACATAAATAGAATAAAATTATCCGTATATTTAGGTGAACAGACGATAGTCATCCACTTGTTAACACGTCTTCACTAATTTCCAAATCTATTCAGAAAGCAAACTTTACCGTCCGTACAAGATGTTATAACACTCCTGTAACGCCCCTGGGTCTGCGGGTGTTTATGGGCGACGGTAATCACTTACCATCAGGTGATCCGTCTGCTCGTTTGCTTCCTGTCACATTAAAAAAAAACACTCCCTCCGGTATATTTTATATCAGTGTAGTGATACACGAGCGCATTCCAGGTCGCAAGAAGCAGGGCGCGGTGGCGGCTCCCCCGCCAGCGGGTGCCGCGGGCGCGGCGGGCCCCGGGGCGCCGTCGCCGGTGCCCGCGCCCGGCCAGCTGCCCAAGCACAAGTGCGCTCGCAAACAGCGCGCCGCGCCGCCGCACTCCGACCACCACCTGCCGCCGCCGCCTGATATACTCGACGACCAGGTAGGAATACTTACCTGCTGGTTACACTCGCCTCCACAACGCAGCTAGGACGATAAACGGTGGCACACGGACTAGACATGATTGTATCTAAAGTCCGGTCGCCGAGGACGTAGAATTTCGTCCAATGACCCCAATACTTATAAATTCTACGTGCACGGCGACGGGACTTTACGAGGCAACAGAAACAGAATATAATGTGTTTATTTGTCTCTAAACAGGTTATATGTATTAGGTGAAAAACTTGACCTACACTGGTTCGATTTTTATTGATGGTCAAGCTGTAGATCCTGGGTACACAGGAGTTGCAGCGAGAAATGGGAATTATCCCGTATATGTTTAAATTTTTTTGCTAATGTTACAAATAACTCCTGAATATCAGTGTCAATATTTGAAAAGTACACATTCAAGATGAGTATTCCGTGTGCCACTGTTGTTGTAAATAGTTAGAAAAGCTTAAATTAATGCTTAAAATACAAAGCTTACAGTTTATCCGGCATTTATCGGTAGATTTCCCAGACTTACCTGTAAGGTTGCAAAGTCCTAATACTCAGCAAAGTCTACTTTTTCGACAATCTGCATTTTGCTACGGAGATTGTATCTCCATAATAGGTCCTTGCTGATATACATTTCTATGTAATCGCTACGCTCCTAAAAGAAATCCTCCTAAATGCCAAGAGCTAATGCAAAGCTTTAATAACAAGGGAACAGTGATTGTGAACATAATGGTTTAGTTATTCTATTGGCACCTTCATCCATCACATTATAACGTCATAATAATATGTCAATCATCTCTTGCTTCATTCTCATTCAAATCATTAACTGTCTTCTCTCACTAATTTAATACACGTTCATTCTTTGTCTTCATTGATTTTCCGTTTAAAAAAAGCAACTTTAAATATCTCTTTGTCTTTCTATGTTTTCTGTTATTGTCTCTTGTATTTTTTTGTTCAATTTCGGTTTTGACTACCTAAGTCTTATTCAACCAAATAATGATTGTTGTAGCTTAATCTGTAAAATTATCTTGAATATCACACTTATTTTCCTACATATTCCTTATTTTTCATACAAAGTAGTATTTCAAATTTTCAAAGATTTGGTGTGGTCCAAGTTCCCATAGGTAGGGCTCCCCAAATTAATAATTGTAGCATTACATTCTGCTGTAACGTACTACATTTAATCCGAAGCTTTATGACTTATATTGCCATATNGCCATATATGCAGTTAGTCGTGTATTCCGCTTAATTCCGAGATACTATCATATTCATTCTCCTTTTGTGCTTGCTTTCCACGGTGTAGATACGCCACGGAGCCATGGCTAACGTATCGCTCCCACCCGGCTTTACGTGGAAGGATGTTAACAAGAATAGAGCCAAATATAAAGACATTAAAAAAAACGTAAATGTGAGTTTCACTTCAATAAGTTATTCTAAGTCTATCTACATGTTTGTACTGTCAGTAGTGTTACTGTATTTTATATTTATTTGGTGACATATCATACTAACATTTTAGTAATGGCAGTAGTTCCATTGTTATCATTTACTAATCATTTGTCATGTTTGATAATATACATCACATTGATTGCAACATAATACATAGACACGATGTAAACATTATTAAAAAAAATCATAATTAAAACTTTTTTTTGTAGTTAATTGTTGTGAACTGTTATGCAAGTCGATACATTTTATTTCTATTCGATTTAAACTAATGCTATACTAATGTAAGTGAATAAATCCACAGAGATCGGAGGCACTTGCCAGTCAACCCCGCAACGAAGCACTGCCAGAGACTGAGCGGAATCTTCTCGAATTAGCTGATCCCTCAGGTAAGGAATACGGCGATAAACCTATTCTCACACTACTTCATTTATTTCGAACGTGTTTTATGCACAACAAGTACATTATTGAAGTTAAATGTTAATACATCATATAACATGTTATAAAAAAAGAATATGCATTAAACCACCATCTCTAATGGTTTCTTCTGCCTTTGCTATGACTTCAGGCGCCTCTTGCAAGTTCTAATGAGTAGCCAGATAGGATATACAGTAGTAGGTCTAAGGTCTAAGCGATGCTTGTGTTGTGAAGGTCCGCCCACGCTGGTGACGGCGCTCCATGCGCCCGACCTCCAGTACAGCGCTCAAGGCAAGTCGCATCGCCTCATCTGCCACTTAGCTTGTCTTGTCATTCTGTTGGTGACAAACATTGATATAACATTATTAGGAATCATATAATTTCAGCTGTAAAACGAATACCGTCACTCTTCTTTTTCTTTATAAGCGTCTGGTATTTTATATCATAGTTTATTGCCGACATAGTTTTAGTTGCGCTGCAAATAATAATAAAAGATACTTACCATTATACAATGAATCATCACACGAATATTTTCTATATTATTTGAAGTTACGAACTTCATTGATTTTGTAAAAACCTGTATTATTTGTATGATTCCTCGTAATTGGTTCAACATCTTTGTTTTGTTAGCACCATTATATTTTGTACCGTATCGTAGATTAATCTCATCCCACCTCAGCTGTAACTAATGTATTACTTGCTCAGTCAGTAAATAACTCTCCCACCTATTTGAGAACTAAGATAATCTTAATAGTGCCAAAAAACGTACATTAACTTCCCAAATATATCTTCAGAGTACTTTGCTGTGTTTCTCAAAATTATGATGTAACAATCATGTCCCATATCATTACTTTAGATAGAACTTGTAATGCATAACCTTTTATTTTGTTAATGTAATGCTTCTTTTACCTGTAATTAATCTTTTCATTTTCATTATGAAGTAATCTAGTGTATTAGTAATGTATTTTATTTTGTTTCAATTTAGCTTTTATATTCACTTTTACAACATTTTTTTATACATATGTTTCTGTGTTTTCTCACGCAGGTCTGACGACCATCCACCCCCCCACCACGCCGCCGTACCCCCCTCCACAGCAGTTGTTCCCCGTGCAACAACTCGCTACCAACCTCAACCAGGTAACAACCAGTTATATTATCATTTATTTACTTAATATTATTAGGAAAATGTGTGTAGATCACTTAGCTTAGTACTCCTAGGACGCTAATTTCTTTGTATAGTTCAACTGCGTTATGAAGCAAATATTAGTGGCACAAAAAGATTTCAGTCCCTTTTTTGTGTACACATGAGAATAGGTATCTCTTTGTAACGCAGTGCAGGACAAAATAATACAATAATGCAACAAGAAAAAACTATCAGATCCCTGAAGTCATCTTGCATCAAGCCCCGATTTTATAAGTTAAGCAGATGAATTACACAACGATAAAATATATCCACAATTCAGGTCAGCATAATCCCCGATAGCTGGCATAAGAAGGCTGTGCGTAAAGTAGTCGAGCTCGGAAGGATGTTCGAGCTGATGCTAAAGCTCGGCCAACACGTCGGCGAAACTGACCTCGCGGTAATCCAACAGCCGACTAAATCAATTACGAACTTAGTACAGTTAGGTACCAGTTGATTGTAATGTAGATAGTGTTATATCATACCATTGTTAGATTTGTCACCATCGATAGTGAAGAATGTCGGTAGAGAAAGTAGAAATACTGTCGGTCGGTTGAGAAAATAATTATTTCGCTTTGGGCGTAACATAATAAAATTATAGTAGGTCATTATCATATTCTACTGCATAGAAACGCATAGCAAAAAGACTCCAACGTATTATTTCTCCGCAGCACCAGTTTGTTGAACTCCAACAGCAGCAATTCCAGCAGCAGTTCCAACAACTGGCCGCGCAGCTGCAGCAGCAGCAGCAGCCGCAACCGCAACCGCAACCTCAACCGCAGCCGCAAACGCAACCGCAGCCGCAGCCCAAAAAGCAACCGCAGCAACAACAGCAGCCGCAACAACAGCAACAGCCANAACAGCCGTCTCAACCACAGCAACTGCCTCAGCAACCTTACGTACAGAATGTGCAGCATACGCCCGAAGGATACGTGCCATTGGTAAACTTTTCTACATTTCTTTAGGTCATCATCCGCTTAGGCATCGCATATAGGTGTTCCATTCAGGCGACATAATAGGTATATTTACAAAATTATTTTCCAAATTTATTATCTTATTCGCACTTCCAGCGCATTTTCGGATAAAAAGGGTAAGCGTAGGCAAAATCGGCTCTGTAATTTCATTTATTTCTGACGCAAAGAAAAAGCAAACTCGGCTCCTTCCTTGACGTTTGGTATAATCGATTTTATCACTCATTAAAGAGCGAGATAGTCCGAAGAAATAGCCTTTTACGGTTCAAGTAGTCAACGACGAGAACTTCTCTTAATAAATTCATATTTTACACAAGTGCTACGGCGAGACACATTTATTTCAGTCAAATTGACCGGGAGTTACAAATCCCTTAGACTAGATTCTCAAGTAAATAGATTCTTTCTGTGTCAACGCTTCTTGTGTAGTCACGTCATCCGCGTCGGCCGTTGCCGTCGGGCCGCTAGGAGTGCCGGATCAACGCGATCCCGGTGGCTAGGGCTAACTCGCGCTGTTCGTAGGGCGAGGAGGGGTCGGGCGTGGAGGCGCGCGAGCTGGGCGCGGTGCTGGCCTACCTGCAGCGCGAGGTGCCGTCGCTGGTGGCGCTGCCGCCGCACGAGCTGCGCTCGCTGGTGCTGCAGGTGACGACCGAGCGGCCTCCTCCCGCTCTCGCGAGCGACTCGCCACATACACTCGACGTCAAATAAATCGCACCTCCAAACGTATGCATCCCCACTTCCCACCAATATTGGCACCATTTAACCTCTCCTATGCTTTGTCTCAGATCTGTGCAACCTCTGTCAACTGCTATGTCTCAGATCTAAGACAAGACTACTTTGTCATTTTGAAACATCATTTGAAAACCGTAGCAGTTGGGGGGTGCAGTTTTGCGCGGCTCAATAGCTTCTAAACTTCATTTCATTAAAGGAAAGGTTTTTACCCCAAAAAGTGTCTTTTGAAGGATCCAGAGTCACTTCTTCAAAAAATAGGTAGTTACGCTTGAGCCAACTTTTATGGCTATAAAACTGTTAAGTTGGGATTAATCATTATCCATCTGTTAAAGACGTGTGATCATTATTTGGTTTGATTAAAAATTGGTCTAATTGATCCCAGAGGTGAGCCCAAAGTGAGGTCTTTTTTCAAGTCACATTTATGGTATAGTTATGTTAATCATTTACTAAGAAATTAAATGTGTTTTTCTTTAAGAATATTTATTAGGCTTTCAATTAACACCAATATTGTTGGGTCACCATGGTTGTGTCAGAAGAAAATCTTTAATGTTCGCGTCGCGGAAGGTGCGGTTTATTTGATGTTGAGTATATTACGATACGGCCACACTCATAACACGGCGTCCAGCTGCGCGATCCATTTTTCAAAATTACGGCTGACGACGGAAATTCGGACTAGTTGATCACTGAACACAAATTACTTTAGATCATTCTGTAGTTTGAGTCAGTAATTTGATGTGAGAACTTCAAGCGGTGTGCCTGGAGCGACTAAAATTACTAACTCGAATTATGAATTCAAATTGGTACAATCACACTCGACTATGGTTTTGAATTAACTAAACATCATTTTCTCACCGCCCGACCTTAGTGTAGAAACTCAGATGGGTGATAGGCTCTCGCACTAAAATATGCGTTTTGTGAAGACTCGTAGAAAAAAGTTAATCAGTATCACGGCCTTTATTATCTCGCGACGGCGCTGAAAAACTAGAACCCATCGTGGGTTTCCTCACTAAGCTGTGCGCAGGGCTTACAATCTGTATCCTTAGGCCGGGTTCCCATTATGCCGGACCGGCATATCTGCCGGAAACCGGACACCGGACAAGGGTGTTCACATATCACCGGATCCGAAATCCGAGCCGAATGAAGTGCGGGGAGCACGGGCGGGGCGGGAAGCACGGGCGCGGCGGGGTGGTCCGCAACTCGTTCACATTACTCCGGTCCGGTGATTTTGCCGGCATTTTGTAGCGACAAAACGCTCGGTAAAAATGCCGGGCTCGGCGAAAAAGCCGGATTCGGGATAATGTGAACAGCTTCATACAATTTGTACCGCCGCTAGGCCTTCCGGCGATTTTACCGGACCGGGAGATCTGCCGGCCCGGCATAGTGGGAACCCGGCCTTATAGCCTTAAATACACTCAACTTCAATCTAAAGGATACGTGTACACGCAGGTTATGCAGCAGAAGTCTCACGAGATCCTCTCGGCGAAGTGCGAGGGCGCGGGCGCGGGCGACGAGGGCGACGAGCGCGCCACGCGCCGCATCCTGGCCGCGGCCGAGGAGGCGCTCAACGCCGACTGGGCCAAGAGCCCGGACTACCACCATCATCACCACCACCACCATCACCACCTCGACCTCACGGTGAGTTCTTAAAGCGGGTTTATAGGACATCTGGCCCATGCAGAAACTGGGCTTCGGGCTAAATGTCTACTTTTTAAAACGTGCATGGGTAGATTCGCCCGAACCGAAGAACGGGCAGGATGTCTACTATTAAAAACTAAGGGAATATCTACTAGTCAACTGTAGTTTTGAAAACCTTGAATTCCTATGTTCTTCTGATTAATTTTGTCGCGGGTCCAATGAAAGTTTAACTTTCCCCGGGACAAACTTGACTTTCACTGGTTGTGTTTTTATTGGCGGTCAAGCTGTAGAAGTGGAACGAGATAGAAAATAGTCCCTGTAGTTTTCAATGTAGAAAAAATATTTTTTATAACACTATGTGATACTGAATCATATTCTAGCTTTAACTTCCAACAAATCCCTTGAAAATTATAAAAAATACACTTAACGCAATCTTCTTCTGCCTCGCCTTGTCCCGTTACGCGGGGTCGGCTTTCCCAATCATGCGCCGCTTTTATTCTATCTTGAATGTCTTGTCCATAGAGTCCTAATATAATTATGTCCTTTTGGACATTCATCAACCAGGTTTAGATAGGTTTGGGGTCTTCCTCTTCCCCTCTTTTCTCCGTCTTCTCATAACGATCATCATTTGAATCGACGCACTAACATTGTTTATGTTCACATTTTTATAGCAGCAAGTGAACGCGGGCTGCCAGTACCGAGTGCGGCCGTCTTCTCCCGCGGGCGTGCTGAGTCCCGGCGCGCTGGCGCTCACGCGGCCCGAGGAGGAAGCGCCGCAGCAGCAGCAGCAGCAAATCCCGCAGCAACAGCAGCAGCTTCCGCAGCAGCAGCAGCTTCCGCAGCAGCAGCAGCAGCAGGTCCCGCAGCAGCTGGCCCAGCCGCAGCAGCAGCCTGACCTCCAGCAGCCGCACTTCGCGCTGCCGGCGCCGACGTTGTCCTATGAGGATTACAGGTAATTTAACAAAGAATTGAGTACTTATGATACTACTTTACTTGTGTATAAGATAGGGCAGAACATTTATTATTTTTTTGTCAAACTCAGACCCCGTGAGTTGACGACAGTCTGGGTCTTATTCTGCAGTTTCTTTGACATTCATTTAACATTGCCTTGTGCCTCAAGTCAACCTGAGGCACGATTCGCTGTGAGGCAAATTTCACGAGACAGACTGAGCCACATTGTGCCGCTCGGGACAAGGCATTCGTTCGACCCAAGGCTGCCTTTCGTGGATACGCGGCAATATTGCCACTCTGAATTTTTGCATAAATATATGATTTTTCGTAAAACGGTAGCGGTTTTACAATATTAACTTTGTCACAAATACATAGACATCCGCAGTCTCAGAACATTACACAGGTCACGTGACACCTGGCTTTATTTTTTGGGAATAACATGACTGTTAGTAAATAAATATTGTTTGCCCACCAGATCGGGCGGCACGTTCATGGCCGGCGCAGCGGGGACGGTGGGGGCGGCGGGCGCGGGGGCGGCGCCCGCGCTGCCGCAGCCGCCGGCGCCGCACCACGCCAAGCACCACCACCCGCCCAACCAGGTGCTCAAGAAGAAGGTCAAGGTGGGTGCTTTGGTTTTACTTGATTTAGGGTCTGATTTAACTTGCGGGTGTTACGCATGCGGGACAATTATGCGTGCGTGTGTAACATAACATCCGAAGGGTCCTTATCATATTAATGTTTATTGTTATGCGTGGAATACGCTTGCGGGGGGTGGGGGGAAATCTGCACGATATTGAAAACGCCCTTATGAACGAGTTTTTTTACTCGAGTCGTCATCATAATGACAGTAGATGCTCTTGTCTACAAAGTTACAGAAGTTATTTCTAATGTGCAATTAAGCTTTTATAAAGCGCATTTACACATCCCAGTATGATTTTAACTTCACTGATTCGAGCAGTGCTGAGAAAAAGCGGCACAAGCAACTGAGTTTATTATGAGCGCCATTTTCAAAGTACAACATTTCAAATATGTTTTCATGTCGTTTATTAACTTCAGTAGTTTTTCACTTTTAGGTATACCAGCAATGAATGATAGTCATTAATTTTATTTACATTAGATTCCTTGAGGGTATGGGTTTGATGTAAGTGTCAAGTATTAACAGAGCGNCCGGGAGACCTGCCGGTCCGGCATAGTGGGAACCCGGCCTTATAGCCTTAAATACACTCAACTTCAATCTAAAGGACGCGTGTACACGCAGGTTATGCAGCAGAAGTCTCACGAGATCCTCTCGGCGAAGTGCGAGGGCGCGGGCGCGGGCGCGGGCGACGAAGGCGACGAGCGCGCCACGCGCCGCATCCTGGCCGCGGCCGAGGAGGCGCTCAACGCCGACTGGGCCAAGAGCCCGGACTACCACCATCATCACCACCACCACCATCACCACCTCGACCTCACGGTGAGTTCTTAAAGCGGGTTGATAGGACATCTGGCCCATGCAGAAACTGGGCTTCGGGCTAAATGTCTGCTTTTTAAAACGTGCTTGGGTAGATTCGCCCGAACCGAAGAACGGGCAGAATGTCTACTAATTAAAAACTAAGGGAATATCTACTAGTCAACTGCAGTTTTTAACTCCTCCTATATTCTTCTGATTAATTTCGTTGCGGGTCCAATGACAGTAAAGTTACCCCCGACACAAACTTGACTTTCACTCGTTGGGTTTTAATTGGCGGTCAAGCTGTAGAAGTGTAGAGCCGACGCGGGGTCGGCTTTTCCAACCATGCGCCTCTTTTATTCTATCTTGAACGTCTTGTTCATGGAGTCCTAATACATGTTCTTTTGGACATTATCAACCAGGCTTAGATAGGTTTGGGGTCTTCCTCTTCCCTTCTTTTTTGGGTCGATGGGAAGGCACTTTTCAATCACGTGATCGTCTAGTTTTCTCATAACGTTCATCAACCTGTAACGCCCCTGGGTCTGCGGGTATCTATGGGCGACGGTAATCACTTACCATCAAGGTGATCCATCTGCTTGTTTGCCTCCTGTCACATAAAAAAAAATCATTTGAATCTATTATTTTTTATATTCACATTTTTATAGCAGCAAGTGAACGCGGGCTGCCAGTACCGAGTGCGGCCGTCTTCTCCCGCGGGCGTGCTGAGTCCCGGCGCGCTGGCGCTCACGCGGCCCGAGGAAGAAGCGCCGCAGCAGCAGCAGCAAATCCCGCAGCAACAGCAGCAGCTTCCGCAGCAGCAGCAGCTTCCACAGCAGCAGCAGCAGCAGGTCCCGCAGCAGCTGGCCCAGCCGCAGCAGCAGCCTGACCTCCAGCAGCCGCACTTCGCGCTGCCGGCGCCGACGTTGTCCTATGAGGATTACAGGTAATTAACAAGGAATTGAGATATTATTTCACTTTTGTGTGTTTAAGGTTGATTAGGAAAGCTTTGTAAATGTCCTCATAGGCTGTCCAGTCTGGATTTTATTCTGCTGTTTCACATTTTAAGGCTCTTTTCGACTTTTTGATTTTAACTATGTTCCTTGAGCAAAAATTGTCGTCAATATTGCAACATTTATTTAATACAGCTATACTTTTGCCACATACACAAGTCTCCGTTGTTTCGGAACATTGCATAAGCCAAGTGACACTTGGCTTTGTAATGTGAAATCTTTAGTATATTATGACGATTACTGTTATGTCGTGTGTCCGAGTGACAAAATATGGATCGGTCGATGGTTTGCTTCGCAACGAGTCGTGGCTCAGGTTGAGGCAGCGCCTCCATTTGAACAGTCGCGGGTCGAGGCTGCCGCTTGTCCCGACCGAGGCTGCATCTGATGGAGATCCGGCTTTTACAAGCAATAATATGTTTTCTCCCACCAGATCGGGCGGCACGTTCATGGCCGGCGCAGCGGGGACGGCGGGGGCGGCGGGCGCGGGGGCGGCGCCCGCGCTGCCGCAGCCGCCGGCGCCGCACCACGCCAAGCACCACCACCCGCCCAACCAGGTGCTCAAGAAGAAGGTCAAGGTGGGTGCTTTAATTTTATTGAGATGTTTTTAATACCATGCTGATTTCATCACGCACACGGGATTGCCCTGTATGTGTGACACCTGCAAGTATCCTTTTCGTACAAGTATTGTAATCCGTGAAATAAGCACATGGGGGCATGGGGACGCAGGACAATATTGCGACTGTGATAAAATCCGCACGATATTAAAAATACCCTTAGGACAGGAACAAGGTTTTTGATCCAGTCGTCATCTGTCATTAAAACAGGAGATGGTCCTGTTTTCAGTCACAAAAATCGTTTTCAGTAATCAAGCTTTCAAATAGCGCATTTACATGTCCCAGTACGGTTTAAACTTTATTGCTTCGATCAATGCTGAGATGATATAGCACAAGTTCACAACTCAGTTTATCAAGAGTGCCATATTTAAAGGTATAATCGCGAGACAACACTCCAAACATGTTTGTGTTTTTCAGTTTTAACGTCATATTTTTGACTTAGATAGTTTTTCGCTTTTAAGTATACCACCAATGAATGATAGTCATCAATTTTATTTACATTAGATTCGCTGAGGAACAGGATATGGGTGTGGTATAAGTGTCAAGTATTAACACGTTCTTCTCAACAGGGCCGCTGCTCCCAAACGCGGTTCGGCGGCGCGGGCGGGGCCGCCAACGCGGGCGCCGGCGCGGGCCGCACGCGCGGCGCCGACCCCGCCGCGCCCGCCGCCTACTCCGCCATGGACGTGGACACCGAGACCGACTCCAACCACGACACCGCGCTCACGCTCGCGGCCGCCGGCGGCCACGAGGAGCTGGTCGAGCTGCTGCTGTCGCGCGGCGCCGACATCGAGCACCGCGACAAGAAGGTACACACGGCCGCCACACTGTAAACTATCCATTTCCGTTTTCGCTCTCGCTCGCGGTGATTCTTTGCGATAGAACGAGATGACATGACCGGCAATGGGCAGTTAACACTGTTGCCGATAGTACGTGATTTTTTTTTAGCATGGGAAAGTCTGTTGCCTGTATCAGGTGGCTAGTAGAAACGGAGGATCTAGCCGAAGTTAACACGTGAAAGTCACATACGTGACTTTACGAGACACAGGCCCTTTAACGCAACACGACACCGTTTTGACTACATGCGATACAGACAGCCCTAGTATAACAACACTGAGATACCCAGCTAGCAGGAGCTATGGGTTACTACGACGGCCATCCAGTGAGTTCCACTCCAGAACCCGTTAACTCCACCTTTATAGGTTCTGTAATAAATAACACGAGCCAGCAACGAAAGCCGTCCCAAAAATAACTGTCTCATATTTCACAAATATTCATCAGGAAGTATACTGAAGAGTCACGTGTAGTGAGTGTATTTAGTAAAATATCGTAAACTATTAACTGTCGTTAAACTGATATCTTGTTTACTGAACTTATAACTAATCTTTGTCATTGCAACCCCACAGGGCTTCACACCCCTCATCCTGGCAGCGACGGCGGGCCACGAGAAGATCGTCGAGATCCTCCTGAACCATGGCGCANGCACCACCAGGTGAGCCCTCACAAACTAATAACAAAGCGTCTAGCAGCAGCCACTGGTCGATAATACTCCGGTACGAGGTGGTCGAGCTCATCCTCAGCCGCGGCGCCAACAAGGAGCACCGCAACGTGTCGGATAATACTCCGGTGTCGCTCGCTGCGTCGGGCGGATACGTTAATATCATCCGGCTGCTGTTGCACCACCAGGTAAGCCCTTACAAACTAATAACATAGCGTCTAGCAGCAGTCACTGGTCAATAATACTCCGGTACGAGGTCGTCGAGCTCATCCTCAGCCGCGGCGCCAACAAGGAGCACCGCAACGTGTCGGACTATACGCCTCTGTTACCCGCCGCGTCGGGCGGATACGTCAATATCATCCGGCTGCTGTTGCACCACCAGGTTAGTACCGGTTTGCGGCATTAGAAATGAATGTTAAAGCCTGACCTTGCCAATCCTGAGCTTAAGCCAAACCAAGGCGTTCAGCTTACGTCCACGATGACGTGCACGGTAGCGAGAAGATGTCGTGTACCAACTTGTAGCAATCTGTTCACATCGACGCGTTCTCTGATTGGCCGCGGCGCGGCGTCTGCAAGCAGAGGTGAAGATCAGATCGTGCTTGTTTCTGTTTTTTTAAATGGTAGACATTTTTCATAGTGAACGTTTGGAACGCGAACGCGTGAATGTATACCACTTTCGCTGTCTACTATCGCGGACGCAGGTTGAACGCCTTAATTTGACTGAAGCTTTTTAATTCACAGTGTATTTATTCATTCAAGTGTTAAGCCAGTCCCCGAACAAACAGAATTTCGTGCAATGACCCTAAGCTATAGTCTGGTCCGTGAGCACGTAGAATTTTGTCCAATGACCCCAAGCTACCCATCCTTATCGCTCGCGCGTAATTATGTTGCTATCGCGCTCGCACACTCACTGCGGGTGCCAGTCGCACAGTCGCGACAGCAATATAATTACGCGCGAGCGATAAGGATGGGTAGCTAGGGGTCATTGGACAAAATTCTACGTGCTCACGGACCGGGCTTTACCAATCGCATAGCTGCTCGGCGACCGGACCTTAGCTTAGCTTTCACGTATAACTTACTAACAATGCGTACTGTCACAGGCGGAGATCAACTCCCGCACGGGCTCGAAGCTGGGCATATCGCCGCTGATGCTGGCGGCCATGAACGGGCACACGGCGGCCGTGCGCCTGCTGCTCGACTGCGGCTCCGACATCAACGCGCAGATCGAGACCAACCGCAACACCGCGCTCACGCTCGCCTGCTTCCAAGGTGTGTAGGGTTATCTCGTTTCAGCCAAAGAATGTCTACTGCTGGATAAATAGGAAGGGATTTCAGCCAGAGGATGTCCACCGCAGGACAAATAGGGAGGGATTTCCACCACGACTGGTCCGGCGCCGCTAGCATCTTGGTGCTTCCCGTGATCTTCGATCGCCGATCCACCGAGTAAGAGGCCATTTGAGAGTCCGTGGTCGCCATTCGAGAACTTTTTCGCCCCTTACGCCGAATAGTTCTTCGAGCTATGCGCCCTGCCCACTGCCAATTTTATTTAGCCAATCTGTAGGATGTGTGGATTACGCTGGTTGTCCTACCGCGAGGAACGAGCCTTGCTAAAATCAAGTGTTAGTGGGCGGGGCCCATATATAACTCTTATGGCTGTTGGGGCAGAAAAGTTCTCGAGTGGTGACCACAGGCCGAAAGCCGTAGTTTGGGCAGGCCCCCTACTAGGTGGACTAACGATCTGGTGAAGGTCGCGGGAAGAACCTGGTGTTATGGAAATCCTTGGGGGAGGCCTTTGTCTAGCAGTGGACGTCATTTGGCTGAAATGTACGAACGAGGAACGAGCACGCTCCTTTGATCTTTACAAGATAACTTTCTTGTAACAGTTGTTTCCTTGCTTTACGTAAAACTTTAAAAATATGCCTCCACTCTAATCCTAAATTCTTTAGAAAGTTCCATCGATGTAAACAAACACTTGTGAAAATTTAATTTTCCTTTGATTAAGAAGATCCTATTTTGACGATCACATTACTGATCTCAACATCAATCAGAAGAGGGATTGATCTTAATAATTATACAAACGATCTTTGAAAATCTAATAATCGTCTGTTGCAGTCCGTAAATGTGACATTTACAGAATTGCGTTTAACGAGAGATTTTGTCGCATCACTAGTAGATCAACTGACATAGACTAAAAATTCGTCAATGTCAGTTGGCCATATTTGTTTACATTTAGGGAAATATCTAAAGAATTAAGGTATAACGTAACTCATTCCTCACTCAGGCCGGCACGAGGTGGTGAGCCTGCTCCTAGACCGCAAGGCGAACGTGGAGCACCGCGCCAAGACGGGGCTCACGCCGCTCATGGAGGCGGCCAGCGGCGGCTACGTCGAGGTGGGCCGCGTGCTGCTGGACAAGGGCGCCGACGTCAACGCGCCGCCCGTGCCCTCCTCGCGCGACACCGCGCTCACCATCGCCGCGGATAAGGGACACACCAAGTTCGTCGAGCTGCTGCTGCAGAGGTCCGCTACGAGGTCGTCGAGCTCATCCTCAGCCGCGGCGCCAACAAGGAGCACCGCAACGTGTCGGATTATACGCCGTTGTCGCTCGCCGCGTCGAGCGGATACGTCAATATCATCCGGCTGCTGTTGCACCACCAGGTAAGCCCTCACAAACTATCAACAGCCTCGACATAGCAGAAGCCACTAGTCATGTACGCCGCTACGAGGTCGTCGAGCTCATCCTCAGCCGCGGCGCCAACAAAGAGCACCGCAACGTGTCGGATTATACTCCACTGTCGCTCGCCGCGTCGGGCGGATACGTCAATTCAATATCATCCGGCTGCTGTTGCACCACCAGGTTAGTACCGGTTTGCGGCATTAGAAATGAATGTTAAATCCTGACCTTGCCAATTCTGAGCTTAAGCCGAACCAAGGCGTTCAGCTTACGTCCACGATGCCGTGCACGGTAGCTATCAGATGACGTGTACCAACTTGTAGCAATATGTTTACGTCGACGCGTCCTCTTATTGGCCGCGGCGTCTGCACGCAGAGGTGAAGATCAGATCGCGCTTGTTATTTTGATGTTTCTGTTTTTTAAAATGGTGGAAGTTTTTCATAGCGAACGTCTGGAACGCGAACGCGTGAATGTATACCACTTTCGCTATCTACTATCGCNGCCGCACGCGCGGCGCCGACCCCGCCGCGCCCGCCGCCTACTCCGCCATGGACGTGGACACCGAGACCGACTCCAACCACGACACCGCGCTCACGCTCGCGGCCGCCGGCGGCCACGAGGAGCTGGTCGAGCTGCTGCTGTCGCGCGGCGCCGACATCGAGCACCGCGACAAGAAGGTACNACCCAAATCGTGGTATTACAACAATTTATTAGTTGAAAATATTTGTTATTTTTTCATTTCGATATTTTTTCACAAATATACGACCTAAATGTCAATGTGACAGAACCCACAAAGTTGTGGACGCTAGTTGGCGCTGTAATCGTGCACGGAGCCAATAACATCTATAATCGACCTATGCTATTCCTTGAAACGAAAAATATTTTTCAAGAACTCGACCGGCCACATTTGTCATTTCAAAAAAAAGATATAAAATAATTAACTTTTTAAAAAAATAAAACCGACTTCAAATGCGTGAACACAAAAAAAAACTAAAAATTAAAAATATTGCGTATAAAAAAGTTCATCCCCAATTTTCTACCCTTGGGGGTGAAATATTTTCTTCAAATTCGCATGAAACCACCCTTTTGATAATACCTATTCAACAAAAAAATAAAATCGTTCAAATTGATTTATAAATAATCGGCGGAGATATTGCGTATAAAAAAGTTCATCCCCAATTTTCNGCGTAATTATGTTGCTATCGCGCTCGCACACTCACTGCGGGTGCCAGTCGCACAGTCGCGACAGCAATATAATTACGCGCGAGCGATAAGGATGGGTAGCTAGGGGTCATTGGACAAAATTCTACGTGCTCACGGACCGGGCTTTACCAATCGCATAGCTGCTCGGCGACCGGACCTTAGCTTAGCTTTCACGTATAACTTACTAACAATGCGTACTGTCACAGGCGGAGATCAACTCCCGCACGGGCTCGAAGCTGGGCATATCGCCGCTGATGCTGGCGGCCATGAACGGGCACACGGCGGCCGTGCGCCTGCTGCTCGACTGCGGCTCCGACATCAACGCGCAGATCGAGACCAACCGCAACACCGCGCTCACGCTCGCCTGCTTCCAAGGTGTGTAGGGTTATCTCGTTTCAGCCAAAGAATGTCTACTGCTGGATAAATAGGAAGGGATTTCAGCCAGAGGATGTCCACCGCAGGACAAATAGGGAGGGATTTCCACCACGACTGGTCCGGCGCCGCTAGCATCTTGGTGCTTCCCGTGATCTTCGATCGCCGATCCACCGAGTAAGAGGCCATTTGAGAGTCCGTGGTCGCCATTCGAGAACTTTTTCGCCCCTTACGCCGAATAGTTCTTCGAGCTATGCGCCCTGCCCACTGCCAATTTTATTTAGCCAATCTGTAGGATGTGTGGATTACGCTGGTTGTCCTACCGCGAGGAACGAGCCTTGCTAAAATCAAGTGTTAGTGGGCGGGGCCCATATATAACTCTTATGGCTGTTGGGGCAGAAAAGTTCTCGAGTGGTGACCACAGGCCGAAAGCCGTAGTTTGGGCAGGCCCCCTACTAGGTGGACTAACGATCTGGTGAAGGTCGCGGGAAGAACCTGGTGTTATGGAAATCCTTGGGGGAGGCCTTTGTCTAGCAGTGGACGTCATTTGGCTGAAATGTACGAACGAGGAACGAGCACGCTCCTTTGATCTTTACAAGATAACTTTCTTGTAACAGTTGTTTCCTTGCTTTACGTAAAACTTTAAAAATATGCCCCCACTCTAATCCTAAATTCTTTAGAAAGTTCCATCGATGTAAACAAACACTTGTGAAAATTTAATTTTCCTTTGATTAAGAAGATCCTATTTTGACGATCACATTACTGATCTCAACATCAATCAGAAGAGGGATTGATCTTAATAATTATACAAACGATCTTTGAAAATCTAATAATCGTCTGTTGCAGTCCGTAAATGTGACATTTACAGAATTGCGTTTAACGAGAGATTTTGTCGCATCACTAGTAGATCAACTGACATAGACTAAAAATTCGTCAATGTCAGTTGGCCATATTTGTTTACATTTAGGGAAATATCTAAAGAATTAAGGTATAACGTAACTCATTCCTCACTCAGGCCGGCACGAGGTGGTGAGCCTGCTCCTAGACCGCAAGGCGAACGTGGAGCACCGCGCCAAGACGGGGCTCACGCCGCTCATGGAGGCGGCCAGCGGCGGCTACGTCGAGGTGGGCCGCGTGCTGCTGGACAAGGGCGCCGACGTCAACGCGCCGCCCGTGCCCTCCTCGCGCGACACCGCGCTCACCATCGCCGCGGATAAGGGACACACCAAGTTCGTCGAGCTGCTGCTGCAGAGGTATGTCAATCTACTCGTTAAGTACTAAAAGAATAAATAAATAATAAATATAATAATAAATATCCTTGGAAATTTTAAACTGCGCTTCTAGTCCCAAACTAAGCAAAACTTGTGCTATGGGTACTAGACAACGGATATAAACATACTTAAATACTTTTTTTTGTAAATACATACTTATTATACATAGAAAACACCTAGTCCAATACAAACAAATATGTTCATGCACACAAATGTTTGTACTGTGCGGGAATCGAACCCGCTACCTCCGGAATAGTAGTAGTCCCTTTCGAACCACTACACCAAACGGCCGACGAATGATAAGATAAAGAATGATCAAAACAATTTATTTATTTATTAGGTACACCAACAAAGTCACATACATAATACAATTTAAAACATAAAGGTACACAAATCCTCATGAATCTAACAATAGAGAGAAATCGTAGCGGGAAACCGTGCGCAATGCAAAATAGCTACGTTTGAAATATGTGCCTTACAGTACGCACTGTCGGCAACAGTGTTAACTACCCATTGCCGGTCATGTTGTCTTGTTCTATCGCAAAGAACCACCATTTGATGAGAGCGAGAGCAAAAACCGAAATGGATTGTTAACAATAGCATAATATTTTTTTTCTTTGTATTCCTATCGTCACTCATTTCAAACTAAGTCTAGATATCTCTAGGTGCGACTTGGCGTCCCGTCTAAAGCCTCCTCCTCCTCCTCCATTTTTTTATCGGACCATATGGGCGGTTGTTTATTGTAAAAAATACAGTCGATTACAAAAGTAAACTCAATCATAAATGAGAAATAAAAAAAATTTGGATTGTATTTATGTAAATTCAGTAAATCATCATAGGTCATAGAACACTCATTAGGGCACTTGCTCGTTATTGTCTTTGTTGGGGTTGGGATTATGCAGCACATATTTGATCTAGTTTCCTTTACAACAATCTAACTGTAATCCCCAGGCGAGCGGCGGTAGAGGTGAAAAACAAAAAAGGCAACTCCCCCCTGTGGCTGGCGGCCAACGGCGGCCACCTCACAGTCGTCGAAATGCTCTACGCAGCCGGCGCGGACATCGACTCGCAGGACAATAGAAAGGTGACGTCACCAAACAGTTGAAACAACCCAAGAAAAAGGAGATCAATGACAGAATGATGATATTCTGTGATAAAGAAAGTGATGAATAAACTGTTAATTTGTTTTTCAGGTTTCATGCCTAATGGCCGCATTTAGAAAGGGCCATACTAAAGTAGTTAAATGGATGGTAGGCGTAGTTACGCAATTCCCCTCTGACCAGGAAATGACAAGGTTCGTGTTGTATTTTACATATTATTCTCTGTAGTTTTCATTACTTTATCTTTCAGCTTCAGAAAGAATTGTATAAATTTTATAATAATAAATAAAATGTTAGTTGTCTAGTAGTGTGCTTATGATCACAGTCAATAAGTTTACCGTACCTTATGTTAATGCATTGGAATTTGTCTTCTCATGTAAACCCTTGAAAAATACGCTAACAATGGTGACCGAGTTTCTGGCGCTGCTTCTCAGCATTAACTAATTTACTTTCCCGAAGCAGTGGTAGAATTAAAATAATACTGGGATGTCTAAAGCTCTATTTAAAAAATAAACATGACATGATCAGATTTTTATTCATAGATTTTTCTGTAACTGGAGCCTGATAATAATGGCATTATTACGTTCGTCAGGTACATCTGTACAATATCGGACAAGGAACTCCTCGAGAAATGCCAGGAGTGCGTGCGCGTGATCCGCGCGGCCAAAGAGACGCAAGCGGCGCGCGCCAACCAGAACGCGACCATATTACTCGAGGAGTTGGACGCCGAGCGCTGCCGCGAGGAGACGCGCCGCCAGGCCGCCGCGCGCCGCCGCGAGCGCAAGAAGAAGAAGAAGATGGAGAAGAAGGTCGGTACTACGCAGCCAGTGAGTATTGACAGCTGAGCTCGGGGTAGTTGACACTTGACATACCAGTCAGTTTACATACTTTTGATGATCAAAACCAGTTTATGACATCACCAATTCTCGAACTCAATGAGGGTAGTCGTTTTCGCGCTCACCAGTCGGCGCAACTGTAAAGTAAGGTGCTGTCTCGAAGCGCTGGTAGGGCCCAAAAGATAAGGACACATGTAAAGTGCCCCATAAGGGCTACCTTTTATTTTTTTATTTTTTTGACGTTCATAAGTGCCACTTGTATTGTAAACTGAATAAATGATTTTGATTTTGTCACTCGCTAGTGGCGCCAACTGGCCCTGAAGCGGCAGAAGGACTATAGAATTTGCATTTACCAGGAAGAACCCACTGTATAGTAAGGTCCAGTCTCTTGCCAGTAGTGCCAACGGTTGTGTACAAAAAACGATAGCCTTCATTGACGAATTAACTCAGTTTTCAGCGCTAGATTGAAGTGTATTTTTAAAGTTGTGTCTTCAAATACTATTGTGGTTACTGGTGTCAACTACCCATTAACACGCGGATCTGATCGATTCGCATTTCATCCGGGGTACGATGTAATCTGACCGCCACGTGTCTCAGGAGGAACGTCGCAAACTGCAGGCGGAGAACGACAAGAATTCGATGTACAGCGAGAAGGCGCTGGGCGAGTGCTCCGAGGGCGGCGAGCCCGACGACGAGCCCGCCGCCAAGGAGGAGGGCGACTCCGGCATCGACGCCAACTCGCAGGTACGCACACGTAGTAGCACAGAATAATAATAAGTACTACGTAGTACAGAAGTTTTACTTCGCGAAGGTATTTAAAAAAATGTATGCTCAATGTCATTAACAATATGGTGAAATTTAGCTTGTCTCAAGAGTCAAGCAAGTTTGTCAGAAGTTTTGTTGACAAACGTCAGTGATCGGTACTGCGCCGAAGCTATAGGGCTGACTTCGGTAAAATGATGTGACGTGAGGTGCCAATCTGCAGAAAATAGCGGAGGAAATACATGATTTAGCATGAATTATCATGAATAATATTAACTACTTATTTACCTCTCAGTGTCTTCAGGCAGCTTAAAAAAAGTACATTCTGTGTTTTTATTATTATTTAGGCAGTTAAATACTGCACAGTATTTAGTACACCATTTTCTTTATTTTTGTCCATCATACACAAGAATACGCGTGCGTGAGTCAATGTTCGCTCGTATGTGAGGCCTTGTCGAATAGTGGGTACTCTTGTAGGGGGCAATCGTGCGTGTTTTGTTTTCGATGTAAACTCGCGGAGATGAACAGGCCTGGTAGTAGTAAGGCTGGTTTTAGAATCGCGCTCACCGCTCGCTGATCGTCGGCGCTCACAAATCAAAATGTATGTAATTGAAGGGAACGTTTCTGAGTGACGCCGATCGCTCGGCGCCGACGCTTCATACATTTCGGCTGTCAGCGCTGACGGTCAGCGTGACTCTAAAACCAGCCTAAAGCTTCAACCACACCAACGCGTGCAGATCGCCATCGCTGGCGCGATCAAAGGCCAAGGACAGGACGCGCGAGCAATGAAAAAAAAAATGAAAATAAAATATTTTATTCAGCGACACAAAACAGCATCAAAAATATGAAACAAAAGTAACACTTAATAGATTAGGTAATGTGCGTGTCACTAAAACGGTATCCACTCAGCATCATGTCGGTAAGGGACACCACGACGCTGGTCTTCCGTGGATACTCGGAGGGCAAGAGGAACTGCTTCGGTTGCAGTACAAGTAACGCAGTTATCACTTTAGAAAAAACACACCGATTTTCTTACTGGTAGGCGAAGAATACAACACTGTTACTTAATGAACAATGACTAAAGCCTGGTCCGTGAGCACGTCCAATGACCCCAAGCTATCCCTATCGCTCGCGCGTAATTATGTTGCTGTCGCGACTGTGCGACGGGCGCCCGCAGTGAGTGTGCGAGGTAGATGAACAATGACAGTTCACGCGAACTGTCATTTCCCTATGATTGCGCCGTGACCGCGCCGGCGATGGCGATCTGCACGCGTTGGTGTGATTGAAGCATAACACGTCCAAGGGCCAGCGCACACTTATCGAGGCGCGGCGAAGCGTGCTTCTGGTCGTAAAGCATGAGATTCCAACCATCGATAAGTCGCCGAGATCGCCGGAGTCCGTTGTCGCATATGACCTTTTGTGACAGTTTGACAGCGCTTGCAGCATAAAAAATATAGTTTTTTTGTTCGCGGTCTTTTCTCCGTGGCTCACCAGGTCTGCGCTGACCCTAAAGTACCGTCGTGCTTAAAGTACTCTGCCAGTGGATCAATCTAGCGCAAAATTGCTAATGGTTTCGAACTTTTTCATTGACATTTCGTGTACTGCGCCTTGGTTCATGTACAATATTATTTTTGTGCAGGGCTCATGCTCTTCCTCGGATGTGAAAGCTCCCCCCGCGCAAAACACCAAGTGCAAAAAGAAGAAGAAAGAGGAGAAAACGCCCCCACCACCTGCAGCCAGCAACAAGAAACAACCTGACAAAGTAAGTGGTAACCAATAAATCATCTGTATCAACTTTCAGTCATTTTATGCCTTTAAGAATAGACTAAAGGCTTCCACAGACCAAACGCAGGTCAGAAGCAGTGCGGGTCAGTTGCAGCGCGGCTGAGGCACACTGAAAGCAGCGCAGTTTCAAAGCAGTTGCAAAGCGGGCGGTTGTCAAAAATTTTAATATTCGAAAACCGCTTTCAACGCGCTGCTACCGCCCTGCGTCCAGTGTGTCATGCTAATATGGCCGCCATAGTAATACAACAGCGCGGGCCCGCGTTCGCGCCGCTTCTGTCCCGCACCCGCGCCGCCTCGTTTGTATTTCAGCAGATGCAGTGCGGCGCGGTTGGAGCGCGGGCCCGCGTTCAAATTTGGTGTGACATACTTCAAAGAGTTTCTTGTATTACAACTTGCGCCCGCATTCAAACTGCCCTGCGTTTGGTCTGCCCAAGGCTTTAATGCGCACAGTTGTAAATCCGTTGTGGCACATAAAACTAGCTAAAGAATGTGCCTGCCACTTTATTTATCAGAAATACATTACTGTATCTTTTGCAGCCGACAAAACCCAAACTAGAGACAAAGCCAGAGAAGGAGAGCACCCCAAAGGCGGATAAGAAAGAGAAGGAGAATGTCGCGCCTGCATCCCCTCCCCCCACACCCGCGCGGGCCCCCGCTGCCCCGCCACGACAAGAAAAGAGAGACAAGTATGTACTAAAGCCCGGTCTCTGAGCACGTTGAATTTTACGCGCGAGCGATAAGGATGGGTAGCTTGGGATCAATGGACAAAATTCTACGTGCTCAGCGACCAGACTATAGATATAAGCTTTGCTATAACAGTAACCTCGTGCTTTTAGTTGAACAGTCGCGTAGAGATGGCCCCAATGAAATTCCTCAGTAAAATAGTGTGCTAGTCGTGTCGACCTTTAGAAAGGGCAAAATACACTGCACTTATATTTGTAAAGTTCATTGTGAATGCTAAAGCAGTCATCTTAGTAGATCTTCAGACAGAATATTGACTTATGTCTCTACATCTCTCTCTAGACTTAGATATTTTCCCAAAAGGAATTCCCTCAGGAATTTTGGTTTGATATCTTTCTAAAGGTCGATACTTTTCTTGACCTCTGGGTGTGGTTTCTTTGTTTTATAATTGATGAATTTCTCTTAGTTTGTTTTAAAAGTACTGAGGAATTTGCTTGATAGTAATTTTCTGCTTTCAAATGACATGTAGTTAATTTGCATTTAAAACTATAGTTATGTTGGGCTCCTAATAGTTAATCGTTGTTAATATGATTTTTGTGCATGCTTGTTTTAGTGTGGATAATGCTTAACATCTTATCTATAGTGTTAAGTATAAGGTTATGGTGCTGAAAAAGGGGGTATAGGAATAAAATATTTGTTCTTACAGAAAACCTGAAGAGGATAGCCCTAAGAGCATTACAGTACAAAATGTAAATAAATACGGGAATAACTCTAGAAAGAGTCAAGTGTTCGAATCCACTAGGCACAATGTGGACAAGGACGAGTTTGACACGACAGAAAAAGTTAAAAAGTCACACAAGTATCAGTAAGTTGAGATTGTATTTGTCGACATCACGAAATATCATTAGTAACGGGACATAAGGAACATGATCAGTGTCAAGTTTGTTCGTCCTCACGGTGTGTACAGTACATTCGGCAGCATATCAGACTGTAATATTGTTCCAAAAAGCATCTCTTACAACGAAATAAAATAAGATTTTTCAGTGATTAGCTTGATATGCTGTTGTCCGTATGATACTCGTGTCGCTATGTCGTATATCAGCCGGGCTAGGATGCGCGCCGTGTTATATTTTATCGACGTCAAAATGTATGGGCAAAATCGATAAAATGACGTGATAACTGCTTATAGCGCCGCGCATCCTAGGTTTACTGGACTGCATGCCGTAAATAAATTATCAGTAGCATAATTGCATCTATCCACTGCTTATTCTGCATCATGTTTGGGTTTAATAGATTGGTAATTACTGTGGTGGTGTTTAGCAAAAATTTGTAACTGCTTACAACTCGTCATCATTATGCAAATTATGTTAACAATCTTGGAACTGGTTATTAATAACAAATTTCTGCATACCTAACTAAATTAAAACAGATTATTAGGCGTAGTACTTAGTACAAAGGTACAGGTCGACAAGTGTAGCTCCACAACGATCTATGTAGTTGTCCCGCCGATTTATCAACAACTTATAGTTACTAGGATCACCAGCTCAACAGTCTCATGATTAGGAATTTGAGTTACGCTGCTTAATCTCGCAGCTGTAAAGCCTTGATCACACCTACCGAGTGGACGGACGAGATAGATAAAATGATACTAGGCCGAGAGAGTTGGGTGAATCGTCGAGTATCTGTCTCGCCAAAAAACTCGGCCGAGCGCACTCGCCGTAATGTTCATACACACCGAGTACTCGGCCGAGAGCACTGTCTCGCCCGTTTGCTCGGTACGTGTGATCAAGGCATAAGTGTAAAGTAAATGATTACATTCAGAATAGGGCTTATTCCATTATTCCCCATTGACACTCCCCGTCAACGGGGATTAGTGAACTTTTTGTTCACTATTCCCCGTTAACGCCAATTGGAGCTTATAATGTTAAAAATAAAATCCTATAATAACGGGGAACAGTGAACAAAAAGTTCACTAATCCCCGTTGACGGGGATTGTCAACGGGGATTAGTGGGATAAGCCCAGAAGAATAAGAAGAAGAAGTCACTTCCATGTCCCGGTGATAAGTTTAGCAGTCGCTATCTATGACGCAAGTGTAACAATGTGGCTTGGTGCAGATTGGAGGCAGAGGGCAAGAGCACGTCGCCCAAGGGCGGCTGCGTGGGCGGGCGGCGCGAGGACGGCTGGAAGGAGGTCGTGCGCAAGTCCAGCGTGCAGACGCTGTCCACCGTCGAGCCGGGGTGAGTCATAATAGCAACTGTTTTAAATATAAGTGACACATTTGCCAGAGGATTTGATTTTGTGTAATAACATAACTTTGGGGTCACGAAATACAAGCAGAGAAATACAGGGTGTTACTTTGCATTCTTGCCATATTTACAGAAGTTACTATATTACTGATACTGAACACAAATCCGTAAAAAAATAATGCCCGAAAAAATTTTTTTTTAATCTTCAGTATTTTATTTTATCGACAATCTGTTAAACACATCACTAATTATCGTAACGCATGCACATCACTTGTTGGCGATGGCGATGAAGACTTTTTTACTTTTTATTGTATTTTTAAATATCTATTGCAATCTATTGTCTTTAAAATGTCTTTTTGACACTTGTAAAAAACTGAGAAATCCATCAATCACAAATCACGTTATAAATAATACAAAAATGTCTGAAGTGTATTCAAACAACGAATAATTTAATCAAAATGGTGCTTGGAGTGTCTGCAAGACGTCTTAGACGAAATGCTTGATGACGTACCCTTAGCGTTACACCAAATGCTCTACTACCAGCAGGATGGTGCTCCCCCACAATAAGGACGTCAAGTGCGCGAATAATACGTTTGGTGAACAGTGGATTGGACGAGTGGTCCAGTAGCTTGGCCACCACGATCCTCGGACCTGACACCAATGGATTTTTGGAGTGACTAGAAACGACTGGTATGCGCAGAAGAAATAAACAGTGTAAACGAGTTGAACATGAAAGGATTGTTTTAGTGAAACTGTGAGACAAAACGTTTATGTGTTGCGAAAACTAAAGCGAAAAACCTACGCTTCGCCGTGCTAGACTGTGCCTTCATCAGAAAGGTGGACACTTTGAACACTTGCTTCGCAGTACATAAACTTTGTAAGTAACTTATAAATAAATAATTAATTGTGAATAAGGTGATTTCATTTTCACATACTTAATTTATTAATTTGTAAAAATAGGGTACAATGTTAAAATTAATAAATAATAATAATAATATTATGACTGGATAAAAAGGCTGGTACCCTGAGCCATAAAACAACAGATTATTAGGAACTAGGCCATGCCCACTAGGTTTATTCCACTTGCACCTGTTTTGTGTCTGTATTTCAATTTGTACTGAAAAACCAAATTTACTAAAATCTTAGTGTACTTTCTTTATGGGAGTCTCTTGTTTATCTTAAATAATAGGTATTGTTCCCTAATTTTATCTCTGTGAATATGGCAAGAATGTAAAGTAACACGGTGTATAATAAAATGTTGGAAAATCACATGATGTTCAAATGAATGCAAAAGGCACCGGTTATTGTTACGGTTAAAATTAGGTGGTGCAACTCAGCCTAATAGTCCATCGTTTGACGAGGTTCTTTGAACCTCGAATCGGCAGTACGACACCGACACCGTCAGGTTATTCTCGCTTGTCTCGCAAATCATTATAAAACTGACTTGATACATTTTCCACATGACCTGATTCTCGAATCAACAGTGCAACACCGACACCGGTGGCCTATTGTCGCATAAACTGACTTGATGATACATTTCACAGCTGCAAGAAAGTGTCCGTGGCGTCGCACGCCATCTCGCGGGTGATCGGGCGCGCGGGCAGCAACATCAACGCCATCCGCGCCGCCACCGGCGCGCACATCGAGGTCGACAAGCAGAGCAAGGGCCAGGGCGAGCGCATCATCACCATCAAGTGAGTGCTCGAGATGATGTCGCACGATAGTGTCGTGGCGTCGCACGCCGTCTCGCGGGTGATCGGGCGCGCGGGCAGCAACATCCTACAAAATACAAAAATCTTTATTTGTGAAGCCTAGGTAATGTAAATTGGTGACATATTGCCATGGTTGCTAAGTTCCGGTCAAAGAGCATACTATTTTATAGGGCATATTGTACAACTTTATCCTCTCCACTAAGGCTAAAATTATCCATTATAACAGGACGTTCCTTTGTGCCTAAACAGCGCGCTTGCAAATGATTCGTCAACGCAAAGGTGTTCATTTGTTTCCGAGTTTCTCTTTTTGTGTGCGAGTCATATTGAAACAACAATGTTGTTTGATCATTCTATATTCTATTGACTATAGATAAAACGAAGTCCCCAAGTGGCAGCAAAATGATATATCGAGTTGGTTGGTCTCATATTTAAGACTAACTTTCCCGTTTGATTCCCAGGGGCTCAGCGGAGGCCACGAAGCAAGCGGGCTCGCTGATCGCGGCCATGATCCGCGACCCCGAGGCGGACATCGCGGCGCTGCTGCCGCCCAAGCCCGCCAAGCAGCCGCCGCCGCAGCCGCAGCCGCCGCAGCCCAAGCCGCCCAAGCAGCCGCCGCCCAAGGTAACTATAACATACTAGAAACTGTCAACCTAGAAAACTGAGTGTAAACGTATGTACAACAAAGTTCACGTAAGTACTGGTTTGTTAGGACGGTTCCCGCAGAAGTACATCTGCTTGTTCTGGCTATTGGACAACTTGTAAATTATCTACCTACATAAAATTTGTTAATTTCTCATGTAAGTGACTGTAATGTTTTTAATGAGAAATAAATGTTCTTTAAACCTACTAAAGCCCGGTTTGTGAGCACGTAGAATTTTGTCCAATGACCCCTAGCTACCCATCCTTATCGCTCGCGCGTAATTATATTGCTGTCGCGACTGTGCGACTGGCACCCGCAGTGAGTGTGCGAGCGCGATAGCAACATAATTACTCTCGAGCGATAAGGATGAGTAGCTTGGGGTCATTTGACAAAATTCTACGTGCTCACAGACCAGACTATATAAATCCGTACTATCCTTATCCAAACTTCCAAAGAATGAGATTGTAACTCTGAACAGTGTTTGAAAGACGAACATGTTCCCGATGAAGTCTTTCTATGGCAAACTTAACCGCCTCTGTGCTCTAGTGGTAAGACCACCTGCTTCAGACGCAGAGGTCACGGGTTCGATTCCCAGTGGGGGCAGATTTTTCTGTTCGGTTTGATTGGTGGTAGGGCTTGTTCTAAGTCCGCCTGGCTAGCTACCACCATCTTACCTAAGTCTGTCGCCATAACAACAATGTTAACAGCATTGTTGTGTTCCGGCAGTTAGAGGTAAGATAGCCAGTTCCTCCGTGGTTGAGGATTCCGGGTGAAGTGCTTCTTCTTTGCTTATTCGAGTTGCTCAACGTCCTTTTTCAAGCACACACGGCCACACTGTTAACTATCCATTTCCGTTTTTGCTCTCGCTCTCATCAAATGGCGATTCTTTGCGATAGAACGAGATGACATGACAGGCAATGGATAGTTATAGTTCCAAAATACTGGACTGTCCTGTCGATGACATTGACAGTGGGGCGCCACCGTCAATACCGGATCGCTGGTTCAGATTTTTGCCATGTTGGAAACCATATAGTTGAACGATGGTAGCGCCCCCCTGTCATTGAGTTTGGTGGGACAGTTTAGCGTGGGTCATCTATACAGCAATATTGCCACAAACTTGATTTGTCATATTTGACGTGACAATCTATTTTCAAATAAAAATCATATTTGCAGCAAGTTCGCTTGCTATCTGGGGTACGAGGACGGGTTATGAGCCTGTTGTGAGTTATGAGTCATTTCTACTAGTACCTTAATATGTAAGTCTAGATATTAGCACGTCACTACCTTGTTTAATATACCACGCAATCTTGTATACCCATTCTTATGATACACAAGAATGCATGGTAAATTCAGTGAACTGCTCCTGAATCGAATGTACCTACTACTACTATTTCTATTTATTATATTAACCGGCAGACAGTGGTGACTGAGTTTGTTGCGGCGCTTCTTCTCAGCACTTGCCAAATGTTGGTCTCGAAGCGCTGGTAGGGTAAAAAGATTATGAGACATGTAGAGGCTCCTTAAGAGCAAAATGACGATTTGTAAGAACTATTTATTAGTCTAAACAAATAAAGAAATGTTGACTTTGACTTTGACTTTGTTGATTGATTCTCCAGCAGGGCAGCAGCGTGAGCGCGAGCGCCAGCAGCCGCAGCACGCCGACGGCGCGCGCGCCCGCCGCCACCAAGCAGCACGCCACCACCGCGCGCCCGCCGCAGCTGCGTCTGCACGGTCAGTAACTAATAACGATTAAGAGCGTTTACGCCGTTTGCAAAAACAGTACTTTTTAACTCGTTACAATCATTAACCAGTAATACTACAAATATGTTATAGGCATAAATAGTTAGGCAATTTCGTTGTCTGAATAATTAATTGAGAAAATATTGCGATTAGTTTAGTATTTAAGAATTCTATCAAGATTTTGTAAATTTCCACTTTAGCGTCAGTTTACAAGCTGAATTTTTTATAAAAATACTGTGAAAACGATTTAACAAACATTTATATCCTGTAGCATAGATCCTTGGGCAAATAGTTATCTGAGAATTTTTTTAGATTTAAGCATTTTACAATAAGAAATCACGAATTAAAAGAACGTGAAATACCCAAAAATCAAAGTGATTTTTTCACCAATATTCTTCCTTTATTCAACATAAAAATAGCTTAATATAATAAAACAACATCTTTTTTAAAATATTTACTTTGAAACGATATTTAATTCATTGTTATTGTTTTGCTATAAACATTTGAAAACTATTAAAAAACGTAAACGCTCTTAAGGCTTCCACAGACCAAACACGGGTCAGAAGCAGTGCGGGTCAGTTGCAGCGCGGCTGAGGCACACTGAAAGCAGCGAAGTTTCAAAGCAGTTGTCAAAAATTTAAATATTCGAAAACCGCTTTCAACGCGCTTCCACCGCCCTGCGTCCGGTGTGTCATGCTAATATGGCCGCCATAGTAATACAACAGCGCAGACCCGCGTTCGCGCCGCTTCTATCCCGCACCCGCGCCGCCTCGTTTGTATTTCGGCAGTTGCAGTGTGGCGCGGTTGGAGCGCGGACCCGCGTTCAAATTTGGTGTGACATACTTCATTCATCAAAGAGTTTCTTGTATTACAACTTGCGCGGGCCCGCATGAGTCACTTGGAATATGACGAATGCTCTATGATTTGATGTTAATTTACTCCTGATCTTCTACACCCATTCTGTAAGTTACGTACTACAACTTAATTTTCATCCAACAGTGGCAGTAGGCGAGAAGCGCGCGTCTTCCTCAGGCGCGAGCGGCAACGTACCAGCGCCAGCCGCTAAGCCCACGCTATCCTACACCGGAGCCATCGTTGGCGCGCGCTCCCACACCTTCGCTGCTAAACTCACGGCCACTGCGCCAGCCGCGTCCGCGCCCGTAGCACCGCCTACACCCGCGCCCGCGCCGCAGCCCGCTGAGAAACGACCCACGCTGCAGGTATGTTGATTATTAGCATGAGAATAAGGTTCAAAATACACTGGCGTCATCGTAGGCGCACGTTACACCTTCGCTGCTAAACTCACGGCCACCGCGCCAGTCGCCGCGTCCGCGCCCGTAGCACCGACTACACCCGCACCTACACACTGCAGGTATGTGAACTAATAGCATAAGAATAAGGCTCAAAATACACTGGTGCCATTGTGGGCGCGCGCGTTCGAAAGCTCGCCGCCACCGCGCCTGCGGCCGCCACGGCCGATGACCCGTTCTGCAGATATGTGAATAATAAAACATGAACAAAATGATTAGCAAATTAATTTTACTACTTCCCTGTTGCAAACGATGGGTGATGTAGGTTAGCTATAGCTGCCGCTACCCTAGAGGATGCATGCTACTCCAACAGCTTCATTCTGGTGCTGAACGTAGGTTTCACATTATCCATAATGTGCGATCTTTGTCGATCGAGTTAAATTTACGTATATTGTAGCACCAGTTTTTTATTTTATTTCCAATACTAAGTAAATAAGTAAGTGATCGTCACTCGACTATCGGATCTACAGCCATTCAGCATACTGCCACTTCGATTTACTTCAATTTCCATTACTTTATATTCGCTGTTCCGTTCGCGTTATGGTGCGTCCACACTGGGCGAACGGGCTCGCGCGGCAAACTCGACATCCTGCTCACTCAAGAGCAGGGTGAGCAGGATGACCAGTGCACATACGTAGATTTGACCGATTTAGGCGGCCAAAAGTCTGTTTTCCGAAATACAATATAATGACAAATAAACCATTTACGTGGGTAGTACACACTTCCAGGAATACCAAGGTACCCTCTTCAACGTTTAATATGCACAGGTCTACCTTCTTGAGTAGTCTGAATTCGATAATTCGCTTAACGTGTATGTATTTGTTTCCGGGCGCTCTTAAATTTGCAACTATTGTAAATTGCATATTTATTTTTAAAACAGTTGTTTTCGTGTGATAGTGATGGATTACGATAATTCAGGTATTAGACTATGTTATTCAACAGTAATTTACTTAATTTTCGTTTTCCTAAATATTTTTAAAATTGGTCAAAGATAGCTGTATCAAAAATGAGTTTTTTTTTTGTATTTTTTATTTTAATGAGTTCGTTTAATATACTTCAGGGTCCGTCCGAGCAATAATTTCTTTATTTTTGAATACTTTACATATTGTTCTTTAAAACTACAAATACATTAGCCGCGGAAACCCGCGCTTTTTTAAATTAACAGCATTTGAAGACGTCTAGTCAAAATTGAGCAAAATATCATTTTATGGCTACTTTGTATTAAATCAATTAAATTTTTGTTTTAGGCGTGACTGGTGCCTCGGGTACTAAAGTAGTGACTCGAAAATATTTATTTGAGCAGATACAAAGGCAAAATTTACCAAGTTTTAATGAAAAACTTGAATTTTATGAAGATTTTCTTATGAATCGTTATGGAGACACAGAAAATGCTATAAAAATTTTGAAGAAAAATTATTCTTATGTGAAAAGTGAATTTAAGAAAAGGTGGATGAAAGCCAATAAACACGAAGAAGTTTTTTTTAAAAACAACCGAGATTGGTTAGATGGAACTTTCGTAATTCCATTAGAATCGGCCTCTCCACAAGGTAGACCACCTAAACCTTTTAAAGATTTAAGTGAGCGCAGCAAAAGAAGAAAAACGGAAGAAGTCCGTGCTACTTTGGACCATGACGTCATTATCCATGCTGCACAATCGGTTTTACAAAATACTGGGCACAGGGATGCTTCAAAAGTTCTCAAAGAAATTACTAATTCACCCACACTAGCCAGTGAATATAGAACTGCCTATTCGAAAGTCAACACGAATGAAGTATTACCTCCTCCTCTAACGCCTCTGCAAGCACTTCAGATGTTCGTGGAAGCTGATCTTTCTAGACGGCAATACGAAATAATAAGGGCAACAAACCCAAAACATTTCCCTTGTTACGATCTTTTGCTAAAGGCGAAACAAGAATGTTATCCGCCAGAAGAATCCATGAGTGTTACAGCTACTTCCGCAGAGAGCAACTTACAATGCCTAATGGACGTTACTGTGAAGCGCTTATCAATATACCTAGAAGAAGTGTTACTTACGCTTAATGAAGAAGAACGGAAATCGCTAACGATCACCTGTAAATGGGGTTGTGATGGCTCACAACAATCAAAGTTTAAACAAATTTTTGATAATGATACTGACTCTGATGGAAACATTTTCTTGAGTTCTTTTGTACCATTGCGCATTGTTTGTGGAAAAGAAAACGATAAATTAATATGGCAAAACCCAACACCATCCTCGTCTCGATTTTGCCGTCCTATCAGATTTAGGTATTTGAAAGAGTCTACAGATATAACAAAAGACGAGATAAGTTATGTGGAAGATTCAGTAAGGCTGTTAAATAGTACAAAAGTAAATTTACAAGATAAGGAATATAAATTTGGACATATTCTGAAAATGACAATGGTAGACGGAAAGGTGTGTAACGCCGCTACAGACACGAAATCAACCTCGCAATGCTACATCTGTGGGGCTACCTCGAAAAGCTTCAACGATTTAAACAAAAAGAATGAAGTGAGCCCACAAGCTCTAGAATTCGGCGTGTCAGTATTGCATGCTAGAATTCGGGTTTTCGAAAGCATAATCCATCTGGCGTACAAATTACCCGTGAAAAAATACAGAGAGAGAAGAACCACAGAAGAAAAAGCACTGGAAGCGCAACGAAAGTCCGAAATACAAGTTAGATTTCGCAATGAAACTGGACTACTCATAGATATGCCAAAGGCTAACTTTGGTAATACTAATGACGGCAACACAAGCAGGAGATTTTTCGAAAATCCTGAACTGGCATCTGAGATCACAGGAATTAATTTTGAACTTATCTATAGGCTTAAAGTTATATTGGAGACAATATCTAGTGGTCATGAAATTAATGTCCCAAAATATGATGAATATGCTTATGATACTGCGAAATTGTATGTGGAGCTGTATGGATGGCATCCAATGACTCCGACGATGCATAAAATATTAATGCATGGGGGGCAAATTATAAGCAATTCGTTAATTCCAATTGGTCAATTATCTGAGGAGGCAGCAGAAGCCCGGAACAAGCATTTCCGATCATACCGGCTTAACTTTGCTAGAAAGTTTTCTAGAAAGGAATGCAATTTAGATGTATTTAATAGACTTTTATTAACATCGGACCCCTTGATCAGCTCCAGGAGAGAAATTAAGAAACCTTCTCACAAAGCATTCCTTCCTGAAACAATGGAAATGTTGATGTCTGCCAAACCAAATCGTGAGCCAATATCGGAGGAATGCTCTCAAAGTGAAATTAATATATAAGTACCTACTTCAATTTTATTTTATAAAAATAAAAATTAATCGTTTTCGTTAATATTTAAGTGTTAAATTGCGCTATCAATAATAATAATGACACTTTTTTTTTTTTTTTTCAAAATTGCTATATTTAGGTGTAAAAATGCTGTATTATCAATAATAATAATAAAATAGGGTCAAAAATAATTTATTTTAATTTCATTTTGTACTTATAACTAATTTCAAGCAAAAAATATTTTTGGCCGCCTAAATCGGTCAAATCTACGTATGTGCAGAAATGTTTTATAGAATTTTTTTTCTTCCAATTACTTATTGTAAAGAAAACGTAATAACTTTTAAAATAAGCGGTATATCCTGATAAAATAAAAACAGTAATAATGCTAAATAACAGGCGATACTAAAAAAATACATAAAATACACAAAAAAGGCCAACAAATACTAAAAAATGATACTTTTTGAAAAAAATCTGCTTTTAAATTCGTGTTTTTTTGGTTATTTGATAAATTTCTCCAAAAAATGCCCCTATAACCGGTGGTTTTTATTACTTTGTATTATTTTTTGTGTATTTTATGTATTTTTTAGTATCGCCTGTTATTTAGCATTATTGCTGTTTTTATTTTATCAGGATATACTGCTTAGTTTAAAAGTTATTACGTTTTTTTACAATAAGTAATTGGAAGAAAAAAAAATCTATAAAAAATTAAAAAAAAAATCTCAAAAATTTTTTGACCTCTTTTTTGTCGATAAAATAGGTCTCGTTTCATCTATTTTCATATGTACACTTTTACGTGACTCACACTAGTCACACTATATCTGTTTAACTATAGATCAGCATTGTGAGAGCTGACCGTAAAAGTCGTAATGACCTCGTAAAGAACACATGCATGATGATATTTTTGATTACCTTTATTGTGCTACAAAGACTCCAGTTTATATTATATTGTATTGTAACTGTATGTTTCCCAAAAATAAATAAATAAGTAGAATTAGAAGAGAAAGGTCAACCTGTACTTAGGCACACAGGAATTGGGCAATGCCCAGAATTTAATGGAAATTGCTGCGTCGACAAGAATAAAGCTCTTAGTATGAGTGAATGTATCTGTTCTACAAGGTGATCCATAAACAATGGATAACTCTAATAGACTTCATGATCTCACTGTTTACTTGATCGGTATTACTGATGTTGTATTTTTTTGTTTGTAGCTAAGCCCTGATAATTCAAGCTCATGGAGCGACAATCAAGAGAATACATCGAATCCCTCTACAGCGCTGCACATCAACACCACGCCACAGGTCAGTATCAAAACTATTAAATTATTCTGAGCTATTCTACTGGTGAACCTGAAGTTGTAAAGTTAAGGAAGCACCATGTTTTCATCACCAAGGTATAATGCTACCATGACAATGCAGAGCCGAAAGCTTGCAGCTCAATTAGCCATTTGCCTCGGGCAAAATAGAGCCATGGGCCATGCTCTTTCACGACATTGGAGATATTAAAAATGTTTGACAAAAAAACTAACGAAAAAGAATTTACTTGACACTGGCTATATACCAGGGGAGTAACTGAATGCAGGCAGCGTAGGACTGGTGGTTGTGAAAGTCCTTGTTTAGCCTTTGTCTAGCAGTGGATGTCATTTGACTGAAACTGGTTATATGTGCAACTCCCACCAACTTTTGATAAATAAGGTACGATGCCCATTGACCGGCGCGCGGCGGAGCGCGTCGGAGCGCACTTACACGGCCGTAAAGAAAATAATATTTTATTAACAGTTCTTAGAGTCGTAATTGCTTACAACTGATTAATTGACATTTCAATCCGGACGAATATGAATGACAGAAATGTCTCTTAATCAGTTGTAAGTAATTACGACTCTTAAGAACTGTCAATAAAATACTATTTTCTTTACGGCCGTGTAAGTGTGCTCCGACGCGCGCCGGTCAATGGGCATCGTACCTAATACCTACTGTTGTTTCAGGCATCGGGCAGCGGCGGCGGCGGCGCGCAGGAGTACTCGCTGTTCAAGGACCTGTCGGCGGCCGGGGGCGGCATGTGGGCCGCCGACCACAGCGTCGAGCCGCCGCCGCAGGTCAGTCGCAGCGCGCTGCATGTACGTCGTCTCACTTACTCTTTATTTCTTGTCTAAGTACTTGCTAGTGCGATCGTTTTATAATCTGAAATTCTGAATTGTTTCTAAGATGGCCGAAGGGACTCCTGAGGACTAATCACAACTTACTCGAAAGTCTCTATCATCATCATCATCAACAGCCCTTTACAGTCCACTGCTGGACTATGAGCCTCCTCCACTATAGTGGAGGGTTTTGCCATAATCTCCACGCTAGGCAGGCGGGTTGGAGATCGCAGTTTAAAAGATTGATGTTTTTCAGAGAGCGCTGCTGCCCATTCTCTGTTTGATGTGTAGTCCCTAAGTCGCCTCTTACGACACCCGCGGGAAGAGTAGGGGTTGGTGACAAATGTATTCTACTCTGCCGTCACCACACGGCTTAACTCTATCTTCTATTTTAATTATTATACAGCCTTTTATTCCGAACTGCTGGATGGGGAGTTATAGGTCAGGGTATCTGAATCTTTCTGCTATTTTAACTAAGCTTTGTAATGTTGTAAAATGCGCGCGAACGTACGACATTTGATAAGAGACAAACAGGGTCCTATTCAAGCTTCTCTGCAGTTTTAGAGTAGTTTAAAAAAAAAAAAACTATCGGCCGACGAAAAATCAACGGTGTGCGCCTACTCTTACCGTTGTCTTAGGTGAGCGTCGAAATGCGTCATAAAGCGACGCGACATACGCGACGCAACTACGTAGGCCACTATTACATGCAATGCAATGATTGCTAATTTTCTTGAGTTTTGCCTCGAATCGCGTTTCCGCATTTATAGTTCGCTTAGGACAACGGGTTATTCAAAATCGCTAGTACCGCGCATGCCACGTGAAAATCTCGTTCTTATGTATTTGTGAAAGATGAGCTACAAACAGCGAGACGTAAAACGTTCCGACTAAAATATAGAAACACGGGCCTTAAGTACATATGTAACTCATATAATAAATATCGCGTTGAGACCCGTGTTTCTCTATTTTATTTGTTATGGAACGTGAAAGTTTAAAATTGTATTCGGCCGGCCGTTTGGTGTAGTGGTTCAGAACGGACTACTATGCCGAGAGGTCCCGGGTTCGATTCCCGGCCGGGCAGAAATTGAAATGATGAATTTTAATTTCTGTGACGGGTCTGGGTGTTACTATGTATAATATGTATGTATTTAAAAAAAAAAGTATGTAAGTAGTATATCCGTTAAGCTAGCACCCATAACACAAGCATGTTAATTGCTTACTTTGGGGCTAGATGGCGCTGTGTGAGATTGTCCAAAGATATATATTTATAAAACGTTTGTGACCATTGCAGCGATCGCCTATGGTGGACGCGAGCAAGGCGCCGGGCTACCGCGGCGGCGGCGGCGGCTGCTCGCCGTGCTCGCGCGCGTCGTCGCACGGCTCCACGCCGCCGCCGGCCTACCAGCCGCCGCACTCGCACGCCATACACCCGCAGCCCGCCTACCACCAGCCCTTGCCCATTGGTGAGACATCTCGCATAATCAAATTTCTTTATTTGCTTAATTCCAGCAGAGTAAATACAAATAAGTAGGTCATCTTCATAGAAACGCACCGAGCGCGGTTTGTATGTGAGCGCGCGCCAATACGTATGCGGCGCGCACGCACACTGACAAAATTCAGCGCACCTCACCGCTAATCAACGCTAAATTTTGTCAGTGTGTGCGTGCGCGCCGCATATTGGCGCGCTCATATAAAAACCGCGCTCGGGCGTTTTTATGAAGATGACCTACTCATTTGTATTTACTCTGATTCCAGGTACAAAAGTGGTCTTACATAGATTTGGTAGGTTTCACTGAAATTTGCTTGAACTAGGAAGCGTATGTATACCCTAGTCAAATAAATGAGTAAACCACGTCATTACTCAGGCGAAAGTTTTCCCTCGTAGAGTGAAGACATTTTCGTTCTTTACACAAAAGATTCGTTTCAGCCAAAAAACGTCCATCACTGGATAAAATTCTCCCCTAAGGATTTCCATAACGATCGACCTTGCGCTGCCCGTATCAAGACTCTTCCCGCGACCCTTACCAAATCGTCGGTCCACCTAGTAGAGGGCTGCCCTCGCTACGTCTTCCAGCCCGTGGTCGCCACTCGAGAACTTTTCAGCCCCAACGGCCATCGTCTCTACGAGCTATGTGCCGCGCCGACTGCCACTTGATTATAGCAATTCTGCGAGCTATGTCGGTCACTTTGGTTCTCCTGCGGATCTCCTCATTTCTGATTCGATCACGCAAGGAATTTTCACACTTATCATTTGAATATAACATGCTTCTTGTATTTACAGGCAACAGCGTGAATGCAATGGATATGAGTGGGTTATCAAGAAATGGAACTATTTACCAAGACAACTCCCGGAATGGACACAACATGATGGTAAGCTTTTCTTACACTTCTCCTTTACACATTATTCAAATTCAAAGTTATTCTGTTTTACTGTCGATTAAACGTAACGTATTACAGTAGTACACAATTAATAAGGCTCACCGATGTACCTGCGCAGAAGACGAATTTAAGTAGCGCGGGAAATGCTATTGACCAATCGGGATACTCCACGCACGGCGCGTCTTCTTCCTGTGCCGGTATTGGTCCGCGCCGCGTGTCATGTTTGCGCGCGCTGTGACACATGTTAGTCAGCCGCCATACTCTAGAGTGCGTAGACGCGTTGCAGACAAAAGTACACTTAGTGGCAAAAAAAGTGTTTTATTTTTGTGAGCCTCCAATCTCCGTACATCTACACATTCACAATTCATTCATAGATTCAGCATTCACTCTTCTCACATTCGGAAATTCAAATATTTATTTGCCATTTAGTAGAGTACAGTATATTAAAGGTGTTATGATAAACAAAATAAGGTACATTATCGTAATTCGCTACAATTATAATGTAGCATGCAAATATTAACATTTCTAAATTATGGATTAAATACATCCCACAAAAATAATCCTACTAATATTATAAATGCGAAAGTTTGGATGTCTGGATGTTTGTTACTCTTTCACGCAAAAACTACTGAACGAATTTTGATGATTATTGTTTATAACCCAGAATAACATAATATAGGCTATAAGTTATGACGATCTATGACAAACTAAATCTCACGCGGGTGAAACCGCGGGCAAAAGCTAGTAAATAAATAAATACATATTAGACGCGTACATTGCTCCGATCGATCCCAAAGTATGTAGCAAAAGCACTTGTGTTATGGAAATCGGGAACAACGACGGGTACCACAAGAGTATTTATAATTTGTTTTTTAAGAAGTCTATTTATTTATTTAAATACTCTATTAAACTTTTTTTGGCAAAAAGATAAATATTTTATTCCCCGTAATTCCGTTACAATTGGCCTGCAGTGTAATTATGAAATGGGCGGGGCTTGCGCAAGTGCGACGGGGAACATAATCGGAAAAATTTTGTCCTTGTCTGCGTGGCCGAAGATTCACGACGCGCCTTATTAAATGTGTACTACTGTACCGTTGTGGCTACCTAAATAAACAAAGAATATACGCCTTTGTCTGAGTAGTGTAGTGTCGAAGTAAAATCATGTCAATATTCAGTAGTGTCGGAGTAACGTAATGTCGGAGTATAAATTTTCAGCCAAACGCAAACCGCAAAAAACGTAACGTGGGACAAGCTTATGACTTCGAATCGTTATCGAGTATCTTCAAAACGATCGTTAATGTCCAGGTATCGATGTCGAGCGGCGTGAACATGAGCAGCTCGGCGATGGGGCTGGGCTACGTGGGCGTGGGCTCGGTGGGCTCGGGCGTGGGCGTGGAGTCCGCGTCGCGCCTCAACCCGCGCGCGCCCGACTTCGCGCAGAGACACCCGCTCATGCAGCACAAGCACAACCAACAGGTGAGTGACGTCATCAGCTGCAGCGGCAACCAGTGACATTTCATTCATCTAAAGCCTGGTCCGTGAGCACGTAGAATCCCGTCCAATGACCCCAAGCTGCCCATCCTTGTCGCTCGCACGTAATTATGTTGCTGTCGCGCTCGCACACTCACTGCGGACGCGCGTCGCACAGTCGCGACAGCAATGTAATTACGCGCGAGCGATAAGGATGGGTAGCTTGGGGTCATTGGACGGGATTCTACGTGCTCACGGACCAGGCTTTAGGAACCTAAACTTCTAAAGTGTACTATCGCACACACAAACGATGCTAGCTAAAGTGAAGCAGCAAATCGAACGCATAGCGTTGAATAGAGCTCTGTGATTGGTTCGTGTGTGACCCTGTGCATCCACGCGCACTGTGAGACCTCATAGTAATGTTTGTGAATACTGGCGTATGTCGCTTCTCCATCTAGTCACTATGTACTAGAACCCTACATTGCGGTCGTAAGCTTCTACTAAAGAGGACTGCCTGTTAGTTTTTTTAGCTACTACTACCATTAGAATGTCTAGAACCGTTATTTAGTCATGAATTAGTCTGGGGATTTCACAAATTAATAGGGTACTTTTCACAGAAGTCAACATACTCTTTAGAGCTATCAAAACACGACTCGCTTCGATTCGATTTTGTACGAATTCATTGTCGTACAAAATCAATGGGTCTCAACAATCCTCTTTTATACTATGATGTTTCCTTTTCGCGAACTCTATTGACTAATAAAATTGATGTCAAAGCTTTGCAAAGCTACCAAAATAAAACATTGTACAGTCGAGAGCACACTTATTCCGAGTATAGAATGCCACAACGTTTAACTTAGTAGACGATGGTCTGATCACTAACCGCGCTTTCTTTTGCAGTTGTTCACGAGCGCGAACAACGCGGCCAACCTGAGCACGCTGCTGATGTCGTACCAGCAGCCCGCGCCCAAGCCCATGCCGCACACGCCGCAGCCGCACCACCCTTACCAGGTAACAAATAATACCGGCCGCTTCAACTTAAGCACGTCTACTGCTGAACAGCGATCGGTCCTGATGGGCTACTCCAAAACGTTTACATAGTTTCGGGTCTTATCTGTCACCGTCGCTCATGCTGGCTTTGCGTGAGAGGGATAACATTTGAAACTTGGAACAACGTTTTTCGAAGTAACTTCGCTTTGCTGCCCACATCTACGTAGTTCCCGCGACCCTCAGTAGATCGTCGGTGTCTGGTCTTGGTAAAATATGCGTGTTGTCGCTACTATTATTGCTTTCACGATGTTTAGCGGGTTTTAAGGTAACTTACAATCACTGCAGTGGCTGCAGTCATTGTCTTAATTTGTATTATGTCTAGCAACAATGGCTCCCCTTTGAGTGTATGCTTAATGATTTTCTGCGTAAGAAAGATGATGCTATCTGTTGCATAGTAAAGATAAAGATATTTATTTACATAAACATGTGTGAAAACATATTACAGAGCAACATGATTTGGTCTTACAGTTTTAACAGGTGATACAACATGTTTTACCAAGATATTGGCAAATTATGATTTAAAATTTTCTGCGAAAAAAAAGTAGAACCAGCAACAATACATAGTGAAATAAAATATCAGCAGAGTAAATAATCTTCGATGCAGTAAAATCGCCGTTTACATTATACGCGTGACTTATCAGCAAAACGTATTTTGGCTTCGGTTTCTTTTCCCATTGTGTTCACAATTTAATCTCATTCCAGTCGCTACTGGAGCGCGGGGTGGGCGTTGGCGTGGGCCCGGTGGGCGGCGCGGGCTGGGGCGAGGAGGAGGAGCGCAAGCCGCGGCCCATCGGCACCGAGCGCGCCTGGAAGCTGACGGCCGGCGACGACTGGCCGCANAGTTTAGTAGAGCACAGCTTAGTGGCAACGGTAAGCGTGTCGCGGTGGACGAGGCTTAGCGCGCCTCGTGTGAGCCCGCGTTCGGATCCCGCCGGGAGCTCGTGCCTCTCCGAAGGTAGGCCTAGACAGGCGGCCGCGGCTTCTGTCTCCACTGTCGCTGGGGAAGACGCGCGTTTTGCGTCTATCTGAAAATGAAAATACTTTTATTAAATAAACACTTTACAATGAGGATCATTTCGATTTTTAGCTGTGAATGCAGATTTATAGGTCTAAGAAATCCTTAATATACAGTCCAAAAATTTTTGTTCTACGACAAAAATTGACAAAGTTATGGCCAAATTACTAAAATAGTTCACTGACTGAGATGAATGGTCCGATTTGGATAATTCAGAAAGATATATCTTTCTTATGTCTTAAAAATTAACGTAGATACTAGTTTTATTGCATTTTCTACAACAGTACAGTAGTACACATTTAATAAGGCTCACCGATGTACCTGCGCAGAAGACGAATTTAAGTAGCGCGGGAAATGCTATTGACCAATCGGGATACTCCACGCACGGCGCGTCTTCTTCCTGTGCCGGTATTGGTCCGCGCCGCGTGTCATGTTTGCGCGCGCTGTGACACAATATGTTAGTCAGCCGCCNTGCCCGATGAAATAGTACACAAATTATAAAATAAATACAACAATACACTTAAAACAAATACACTACACTACTTTACTGATCCTATTTAGTTATTAATTTATAACAAAAAATAATAAAACCATAGAAAGACGTCTACACCGCCCGACGTTTCCCGCGCTTTTCCGCATCTCATCTTTTCTCATATCAAAATCGCTCCAGCGATCATAGAGAAAATGATCTATTTTTTTTTTGGTTCCATTCGTTCCTTCTGGAACAGGCTAAGGTCAAAGACCATGCTGCCTAGTCATCAGTAATCTTCTTGATTTTTTCATTTCCAGGGTAGCTTCATTTTTATAGTATGCTTCATATGCTTCTTCTTCCTCCTTCTTCAGGTAGAGTCCCCCAATCATATGGGAATATCCACAGTCATTTAACTTATTATGATTTCATGTTGTATGTCTNACGCAGAGACGCGATTGGGGTCTCCGCGGTGGTATATTTGGCGATTTATTCAAATAAAGTGTTCATAAGTGTTGTTAGAGTCATATCTTCTTCCAAGTAAAATATAAAAATGTATAAGTATTAATTTATTTACTTCTAACAATAAGGTATAGCTGAGGCAGATACACTCTGCCTAGGCTACAAGACATTGCTATGAAAATCATTTCGATGTACACGCAATACCTACCTGTTATTTAGTTTTTCTGAGTTAAATATACGCACCTAACTATCTATTCGCCGTTCCCATGGGCGGGCCAGCTGCTGCAGGAAAGGACAGCCGCTCCGTGCTGGAAATCTATTTAATCTTAGCCTAGAAGCTGGGTATGACTACCCCGCCCCTCTCCTCTCCCCAGGTCATAAGCTGGGCATGACTTCCCCCTCGGCCAGAAGTTGGGTATGATTTGTTTGTTATGCATAAAAAAAAAGGCTAGCCCCTCCCCTCAGCCTATAGAAACTGGTTATGACTTGACCCCTCCCCCCCCCCCCTCCCCAAGCCAGAAGCTGGGTAAGGCTAGCCCCTTCCCCCAGTCCATAAGCATAGCTAGGTATGACTCCCCCTCGGCCGGAAGCTGGGTATTACTTACCCCCTGAAGCTGGGTAAGGCTTGCCCCTCCCCCCAGGCTATAAGCTGGGTANGGCCGCACCCGCACCACCCGCACCATCCGCACCACCCGCACACGGACCACGACCGGTACCAGGTCAGTGGAGATATTGTATTGATGGGGGCCCGGTGGCGGCGCGGGCTGGGGCGAGGAGGAGGAGCGCAAGCCGCGGCCCATCGGCACCGAGCGCGCCTGGAAGCTGACGGCCGGCGACGACTGGCCGCACCCGCACCACCCGCACCATCCGCACCACCCGCACACGGACCACGACCGGTACCAGGTCAGTAGCATGTTGTTTTTTTATTAGGCCTAATCCACCATTTTATATGTCTGGTAAATTAGAGGTTCTGGAGTGGAGGCCATGTACCGGAAAACGCAGCGTGGGACGTCCACCCACAAGGTGGACCGACGACGGCCGCTGCCAACCGTGCGATGTGGAAGTCATTGGGGAAGGCCTATGTACAGCAGTGGATGTCCTGTGACTGAAATGATAATGAAATTAGAGGGTCGTTCTTCTGCTGTGGAGATTAATGCCCGTATTCACAAACATTACTATGAGGTCTCACAGTGCGCGTAAACGCACAGGGTCACACCCGAACCAATCACAGAACTCTATTCAATGCTGTGCGTTCGATTTGCTGCTTCACTTAAGCAAACATCGCTTGTGAATACGGGTGTAAATAGTCTGATGTTAATGCCTATTTATTTCACAGTTGCAAATGCAAAGGTGATTTTGATGCGCTGTAATGAAAGTTGGGGTGTTAATGTAAAGCGAGGTTCAGACTAGCAATAAAACTATAAAACTTGCAGAAATTGACTTCCGCAAGACTGCTGATTCACACTGTGTAAATAGCTATGGCATGGCAAGCCAACTTTGCAAGATTTACACAGTGACGCTTGGAAGTAAGCTTGGAGAAGTAAACTGCAAGTTTTATTATTAGTTTAAACCTCGCTTCATGTAATTCCAGGTGAAGCTCGATTTCGCCTCGGCTTGATCATTACTTTCAGGTGATATGCAGGTTAGGAGCTTCCTCGTTGTGGATAGACACAAATACAGTTCCTGTTATCGGTTACTTTAATTTGTATTATTATATTTTAATTAGTAATTACGGCAATTTGTGTGCTAAAGCCTGGTCCGTGAGCACGTAGAATTTTGTCCAATGACCCCAAGCTACCCATCCTTATCGCTCGCGCGTAATTATGTTGCTATCGCGCTCACACACTCACTGCGGGCGCCCGTCGCACAGTCGCGACAGCAATATAATTACGCGCGAGCGATAAGGGTGGGTAGCTTGGGGTCATTGGACAAAATTCTACGTACAACAGTAGATTGCTATACAATTGATTTGTGTTTTATTATCATACCTATTCTCTTCCACAGCAGGGCGTGAGCGGCATGGGTTCTGTGGGCGTGAACGTGGGCGCGCACGCGGGCGGCGCCGGGCTGGAGTACGGCGCGGGCGCGGGCTCGGGCGCCACGGCCGCGGCGCTGTCGCTCATGCAGGCGCTGCCGCTGCACTACCTGCCGCCCGCGCCGCCGCACGCGCCCGACCACCACCACTGGGACCAGCACCACCACCCCGATAAACAGGTACAACCCACCACCACCCATGGCCATACCAACCTTGCGGTTATACCAGGCCTGTTCATCTCCGCGAGTTTACATCGAAAACAAAACACGCGCGACTACCCCTCCTGAGATACCGAATCGACAGGACAATGACGAGCGAGTATTGACGCACGCACGTATTCTTCACCCATTTGCATTGTAAAAACAATAAATCATATGTAAAAACGGCGGTGCAATTAATACTCTACAGTATTTTTTAACTGCCTGAATAATATTAGAAACACAAAATATAATTCATGCTTATTCATGTATTTCCTCCGCCATTTTTCGCAGTTTGGCACCTCACGTCACACATCATTTTACCGAAGTCAGCCCTATGTCTTCGGCGCAGTACCGATCACTGACGTTTGTCAACAAAATGATGCTCGACTCTTGAGACAAGCTAAATTACACCATATTGTTAACGACATTGAGCATACATTTTTTTAAATAACTTCGCGAAGAAAATCTTCTGTACGAAGTACTTATTATTATTCTGTGGTTATACTGGCCGAATCGCGGGAGGTGTGCGCGGAATTGCGGCTGCCTAGGACAGATTGCACTCCACCGCGCCACACTTCTTGACTCCCTACAAGTTATTTTTTTTTATTTGATAAACAGGTACAGTCGGACTATTTGACGTTGCTGTACCGTCATTCCCGTTCACCATAGCCGTGTGGTGACGGCAGAGTAGAATACATTTGTCACCAACCCCTACTCTTCCCGCGGGTGTCGTAAGAGGCGACTTAGGGACTACACATCGAACAGAGAATGGGCAGCAGCGCTCTCTGAAAAACATCAATCTTTTGAACTGCGATCTCCAACCCGCTTGCCAAGCGTGGGTATTATGGCAAAGCACTCCACTATAGTGGAGGAGGCTCATAGTCCAGCAGTGGACTGTAAAGGGCTGATGATGATGATGTACCATCATTCGTTTTTTACCAAAAAATTGCCATTATTACCCATATTTTTATATTTACCGAAGTCCAATTTGGAAGCCGATTTTGACTTGTGGCCCTTTCGTTTATAAGCAGCGATTTATTCATGAATTAATCTTGTTGTGGTTACACACAAGTGTTAAAAATAAGATCGAGTAACAAACAATAGCTCTGTTAGAGCACAACAATATAGTACTAGACACTTTTTCTACCAATGTGACCTATCCCAGGAATACTTCCTGGCTAATGTTTCCGATATATGCCCACTTGATGGGAAAATTTCTGCAACTTTATTCAGGTCAAGACTTCCCTACAGGGAACGGACGTTCCTCAATATTCCCACTAAGTAAAAATATTCCCGGAAACGGTACATCTCTGTGAAGCTTTCCCTTCCTTGTCTCATTGGGTCAAAACTTGGCGTTATTGACTATACTCTCGTGAACTCCTCACACACCCCTATAAACTTTTATAAGCATTTTTAAGTGAAAAACTATTTACTATATATGTAATTTACTTTAACTTAGATCCCTGCTACGAAATATGCCAGTTTTTTCAGATCTATCTCTCTTGTACTCGCCCTTGTNGACCTGTACAACTTCCGTAAGCTGATTTGCACTGTGTAAATAGCTATGGCAAGTCAACTTTGCAAGATTTACACAGTGACAGCTTGGAGAAGTAAACTGCACGTTTTATTATTAGTTTAAACCTCGCTTCATGTAATTCCGGGTGAAGCTCGATTTCGCCTCGGCTTGATCATTACTTTCAGGTGATATGCAGGTTAGGAGCTTCCTCGTTGTGGATAGACACAAATACAGTTCTTGTTATCGGTTACTTTAATTTGTATTATATTTAATTAGTAATTACGGCAATTTGTGTGCTAAAGCCTGGTCCGTGAGCACGTAGAATTTTGTCCAATGACCCCAAGCTACCCATCCTGATCGCTCGCGCGTAATTATATTGCTGTCGCGACTGTGCGACGGGCGCCCGCAGTGAGTGTGCGAGTGCGACAGCAACATAATTACGCGCGAGCGATAAGGATGGGTAGCTTGGAGTCAATGGACAAAATTCTACGTGCTCACAGACCAGGCTTTATCATAATCGAATCTGTTTTTTTCTTAAACTGAAATCGACTCGGATATTCAACAGTAGATTCCTATATAATATATTTGTGTTTTAATATCATAACTCGTTCCCACAGCAGGGCGTGAGCGGCATGGGCTCTGTGGGCGTGAACGTGGGCGCGCACGCGGGCGCCGGGCTGGAGTACGGCGCGGGCGCGGGCTCGGGCGCCACGGCGGCGGCGCTGTCGCTCATGCAGGCGCTGCCGCTGCACTACCTGCCGCCCGCGCCGCCGCACGCGCCCGACCACCACCACTGGGACCAGCACCACCACCCCGATAAACAGGTACGCGTCTTCACATTCGTTTTGCATCGCGTTGTTATTGAATTTGAATTGAAAAAAAAAAATATTATCAGACCGGGGTCCGTAAATGATCAAGTCACAAAAGAGGGCTACCTTTTTTATTATCTACTAGCTTTCCGCCCGCGGCTTCGCCCGCGTGGAATTTTGTCTGTCACAGAAAAACTTTATCGCGCGCGTCCCTGTTTCAAAAACCGGGATAAAAACTATCCTATGTTCTTTCCCGGGACTCAAACTATCTCTATGCCAAATTTCATCAAAATCGGTTGCGAGGTTTAAACGGGAAAGCGTAACAGACAGACAGAGTTACTTTCGCATTTATAATATTAGTTGGGATAACTTTTATAAGTACCAAAATACTGGTCAAAATTGAATAATATATTTTTGATTTGTCCTGTAAGATCACAGCAAATCATTAACAGAAATAAACACATTGCCAATACGGAACATTCACGGGAACCTTGTTCAAATCCGTTTATTCCCGATGTCCCCCACTATTTGTCCACCACTGGTGGACATCGAGAAAAAAAGTTGCAATGTCCACCAGTGGGGGACAGCGCTACTGAAATCTTCCCGTTGGGCCCTACTGGTGGACACTGAGAAGAAATGAGTTGCTCTGTCCCTCAGTGGTGGACATCGAAACCAAAAAAGTTCCGTTGTCCCCCACTACTACGTTGTCTACTACGAATGTAAAGTGTTTCATCTTAGATCCCTGCACCTTAGTGCCAGTCTTTTCGGATCTATCTCTCTTGTACTCGCCCGAGATGAGAACTAACACGGGTTGTTTGTTGTCCGCAGACTTGGAGCAAGTGGAGCCACTAGACGGCTCCCGACCTGCCTTACGGAGGCGCGAGACTCGGCATCGGTCGCGACGTTGGCTTCTCTCGTCGCCGCGCCTAACTATCCGACGAGGATTATATATTAATTGTAACCCTTGGAAACGGTGTAGATATTAGTGAGAAAGAATTATATTATACAGATTATCTATATACATAATAGAGAAAATGTCCTATCGAGAAACTACTTATAACTGTACGATCGACTGAAGTGAGCATTAAACGATTCATTATAATGAAACTCGTGAGGGGAGCCGGATGTAGTTTTATTTGTTACTGCCGCTCGCCGCGCGACGTACTCTTAGACAAATTATAGTTTGTTAGTCGGCGTCGCCGTTCGTCTGATGTAGATATTGCGTACTAACTTGTAACGTAGGTAGCTTGGAATGTGATTCCGAAGTGCCGGTCAGTGTTTTGCGTTGCCTCGAGCCGCCGCCCTTATATATACATATTTTACACTATATTATGGCATAATACGATCTATAATTTCGACGATTGATATTCTCGCAGAAAGAGGCGAATTATTAAACGTGTATTAATAAATTTGCTTGTACATGAAGATTAAATATCATATATTGATGCACTGTATTCACTGGTGTTTTTAATAATACCACCTGTTTTTCAATAATTCTTTTTTAATAGGTTTATTTGGGTAATTTGTATATTTATAAGTAAATTATTATTGAGGACTTTGTCTCGAATATTATAGCAGGATATGCGGTAAGTTCTAGACAAATAAACCGTTGTCAAGTATCTTGCGTGTGTTCTTGATTAGGGAACTCTGGCTTTAATCAATAAAAACCCATTTCAAGAAAATACAAATGTATTGAAAACATGCTTAAACATATTACATTCTTTCTGTTTAGAGATTCTTTTATTAAATATCTTACAAGTATTTGGTAAACCTGAAGTTATTGATTACTATTTATTTGCATTGAGAGCATTTTAAAATATTTATTACATGTCCTCAAACCCTTAACCATTATTAAATGCACTTTGTTTTCTTCTTAATTAACATAACCGATTTGTTATTTCATTTTAAACATTTCCATTTGATATAATAATATCTAAAACTGTTGATTGAAAATTAATCATACAAAAACACATACATTAACACGACCTAATTGAGACGCTTAAGCCATCGCCTAAGCATTCGTCTGTGCAGTCCATATATCATGTATGTCACGAAGGTCTCCCAAATAAATTTTGGTTTTGGAATCTGAAAATATTCTAAAACGGCGCCGTCCTCTTCGATAATGGCCAAGAGTTCGATTGGCAGATTCCACTTGAAGAAGATCCGGAGGATGTTCCAGCTGCCTCACAACTCGGAGTGGCGCGCGAGGATGCGCTGCTCGAGGTCGTCGTGCATCTTCTGCACCTTGCGCGAGTGCTTCTTGATGGTCTGCTGCTCGTGCTCCAGGTGGTCCAGCTTGTCGCCGGTGGCCGCCACCTGGGGGATGTTACGGAATATGAGCAAACGTGAAACGGACGAACACATCGTCTTGGAATAGGGAACTAAAAAGGTGCCAAGGAGCGAAAAAAATGTCTTTCACTGTTTGAAGGCTAAGCCATTACGGGGGGATTTTCAGCCGCGCCTGCAGTGGACACGGGATCGCAACACCTATACGAACACTTACTATCTACACATGGAAATGTAGATGGTCAATTTCTCTTTTCGAGATTGGACGGGGTTTGGAACTTAACTGAACAATCTATGATCGTAAATCGCTCCATCTTGCGACGGCTGGGTAATCCCGGGCCCCGGTCTAACTGCCACCGCAGCGAGTTCAGCTGAAAATCGCTCCGTAAGTTTTTAGCCTCCATAGTTAAGAAAACACATGAACACTCAAATCACTAAGGCTGAGTTGCACCATCTAATTTTAACCGTAACTATAAGGCCCAGAACAGACGGTGAAACGCAACTGCAACGAAACTGCAACTTTCTGATGATTCTTAAGAATGAAACTGAAACTAAAAGTTTCAAACTGGTCGCGTCATGTGTGGTCTCTCAGCGGACGCTATGGCAGAAACTTAGATGCAACTCGCAGTTGTAGTTTCGTTGCAGTTGCGTTTCACCGTCTGTTCTGGGCCTAACATTAACCGGTGCTTTTTGTATGGATTTTGAAAGATTTTTGATGTTTGTCAAAGTTACAGTAAGATGGTGCAATTCAGCCTTAATGTTTAATAAATAAAATAAAAGTGACATGAAATAAAAATAACCTTGCTATGATGTTTATCGACATTGCTTACATGGTCTGCTTGCAAGTTCCGTAACTTCAGCAAACGGGATTCGTAGTGTTGCAACTCCACCTGATAAAAAATTAAATACAACTGTAGTTATGGTGGTCGATATGCGTAAGATGAAAAAAAAAAACTAAAAGCAAATTGCAATAGTCCTGCCGCTTCAGCGTTCCCCGGCTGGCGCCGCCCGCACCTTTAAAATTTAATATCTTGGAAACTATTTGACGCATCAAAATAATTATTTCACGTGTATTTTTTATTTTTAACAGAGAATACAGAAAGCTAAAAAACAAAATTAGTGAACACTAGCTTTTGCCCGCGGCTTCACCCGCGTGAAATTTCGTTTGTCACAGATCGTCATAAATTATATCCTTTAAGTTATTCTCGGTTATAAACAATAACACTGTTAAGTTTCATCAAAATCCGTTCAGTAGTTTTTGCGTGAAAGAGTAACAAACATCCAGACATCTAGACATCCAAACTTTCGCATTTATAATATTAGTAGGATAGTAGGATTCTCCATTGGAAGTTAAAAATTACCTTCAATGATGCAAGTTCATCAACAGTAAAGTTAGATGCAGTGGCCATTCTCCACAAACCTTGAACTTTGGGTTCTATAAATTCCTTATTATTTGGACCTGTAACAAATAGATTTACAATACATACTTTTTCATTATTATAAATACGGTAGATTCAACCAAAATCCAGCATTCAGTAGTTTTTCTGTGAAAAGGTAATAAAACATCCATTGTCACAACATTTATATTTTAGTAGGATAGGAAATGGGATTAACAAGATGGGAAGAATAATCTTTTTATCATAATTATTAAAATAAAAAAGTAATGCACCTTTAGATGTAATTCTCTGCAATCTATCATAGTTATCTCTCAGTCCCCTGTGTTTTTCTCTGACTAAGTTGGTCTTATCTAAGAAGTCTTTTTTTATCTCATTGGTTTCCAACTGGCTACTGATCTCATTGAACCTATCCAGTTCCTCTTCATCCACAGCATCTGTAAGAATAATAATTACAATAGTTACTTGTGGTTCCTTTCCAATTTGAAAACAATAAACACTGTCTAGTATTATAGAGTAGTATTGATGTGTTATCAGTAGAGAGCAAGATATAAATTATTAATAATTAAACCTCATTAAAAATTACTGAGTAGATAAGTATGTGCACTTTGAATGTCTGCAAACATTCTGATAGCAGATAAAAACAATAGGTCAATTGCCCCAATAAAGCAAAACTAAGAGACATACTTTTATAACCGTCTTTGTCTCCTTTTTCTACATCTTCAAGTATTTCATAGTACTGGTCAATTTTGTCCTGGTGATGCAAAAACTCTTCTTTCAAAGCTGACAACTCTTCACTTGTGAAACCTGAAGCCTCTGCTTTTGCCCACAATGCATTTAGTTTTTTATCTTTGAATAAACTTTTATTGATGTGGTCATCAATAGCAGAGTTGTAAGACTGAAATGAAATAGTAGATTTATAGATTTTCTGAACACAGTAATGCATAAATTGTTATTGTTACTTGTATGTACATACTTGAGGGTCTTTATGGGGACTAGAGCTGTCTCCAAAATGCTCTCGAAGTCCATATACTGACATAATATTAGTAAGTTTGCGCCTCAATTCAGCTTCCTTCAAACCCTCTTTGTCCCCACGTTCACTTTTAATCCGTTTATAAGTAATTTCTTCTTTGTCTTGAATCATCAAATCACTGTACAGTGATTTCAATTTTGGCTCTGTTAGACGCTAAAAAGGAAAAAGTTTTAGCTTAGAAGTGACTAGAATTTAGATTATTTTTATCTATTTCTACAAGAACTTTGCCTAGATATAAGTAGTAAGTAAAGGGAGGGAAATACCTGTTGAGCTTTAGTCCACAGTAGATTTAGCTTATTCATCCTAAAAGGTTTTTCTAATTTCCTGAAATTAACTCCTTCAACATCCTTTTCATTTGCGCTTCGTGAATATTTATTTTCACTCATATCAACACTAGCCAACAGTGCAAAAAACACAGGAATGCATAGTTTGTGCAGATACATTCTTGCGACCACAGTTCTCCTTCTAAATTATTAACACAAATCGTATTTTTTATGTATTTAGGATTAGTCAGATTATTGTTATCAGCATCTCATCTTTTCTCATATCAAAATCGCTCCTGCCATGGACCTATAAAAAAAGTCGGACGGAGTCTCATCAACAAAATACTGTGACATTAGGATAAACCAGCTTGCCTGTACGTACAGGCCGGCACGCACACATTCACACCCTGTTACACCACTTCGAGAGCAAACTTCACACAGTTGACACATTTAAGCAGCGAAAAAACAACACGAATACGACATGTCTTGTGTGATGAAATTGTGTAAAAACCGTTCTGTTCGAACAAACAAAAATTAAGGAATCACATTTCACAGGTAAAATAATAATCCAATCACTTATTTCCCGACATTAAAATATTGAAATTAATTGAAATCAAACGTCATTCACTCGAAAAAATAATACGTCAAAGACCAGTGTTCTCAGTTATTTACGTGGGAAAATTACCCGAAATATGGGAAATTAATAATGATTTTAGGACTTTTTAGTTATGTATTACGCATACTATGGAAATAAAATAATTTATCATAATTATTGTGTTTTAATGGGATATATTTTCATAGGCAAATTTGATCCTTCCCAAAAATGTGGAACTGCGAAATTCAAATTTTCTTACATTGATTGCAAGTCAGTGTCAGGTTGTATGTTAAAAAATATAGATGACCCACGCTGAACTGTCCCACCAAACTCAATGACAGGGGGGCGCTACCATCGTTCAACTATATGGTTTCCAACATGGCAAAAATCTGAACCAGCGATCCGGTATTGACGGTGGCGCCCCACTGTCAATGTCATCGACAGGACGGTCCAGTATTTTGGAACTATACAATATTTACAAACACAACAAAGATTGTAGGAACAGTGTTTAAACAGGTATATACATTTACATATTTACAATTAACAGAATTAGATTTGCCCAACCGTATTGCTGATGAAAGAAAATGATCTAATCTAAAAAAAAAACTATTACAGAAATGACTGCACCATAAAGTTATTATTCTTCCGAAGGAATATTAACTTTATGGACTGCACAGAGAAACGCTAGCTACGACTTTTTTGCCTACACGTTTTTTGGTAAAAAAAAGTTATGATTATCTGGCTTTTTATTGGCCAAAATTAAACTTAGATGATTGTCATTAGTAGTTACATTTCATTGTGAAAAATCCTTCGGCAATAAAATTTACAAAATCATCTGTCATTTTATCGTAATCATCTGTCAATAATTGTTACCTATTACTTTGATTTGATAAGAGAACGATGGATCACAAACTAAAAATATGTTTAGAG